TCTGGCTCTGTGAGCCGTAGGCGTCCCAGGAGAGCCGCTTTGGCAGCCTGGGGGGGGATCCCAGGCGCCCAGGCGCTTCCACGCAATTTGCATTCTCAGGAGTCGCGTGTGACTCGTTTCCGACGACCATTTCCCCATGAGTGGTTGCAGCACACAACTTTTCCGATGATTGAGGACCTCGTCAATTCGTTCCCCTTCTCTGCTTTTATCGAATGGTGCGAGGACCAGGAGCTTGATGTTGATGGTCCAATGGGGCCGGTGCTGGCACAGCACGTTTTCGACAGATCACCGCAACGGGCCGGCAAGCTGGAGCCCTGAGCCACAAGGCCGCGCTCCCGCCACTTCAGGCGGGTGAGCCTACCCCGGATGAGCACTTCGATCACGCCTGGTACAGGCGGCAGCATCGGACGCCTTTGGAGGAGGAGCCCATGCTGGACGCGGACCTCCGCTTTGCAGCGGCATGTTGTGCCCGCTGGCGAGGTCAGATGATCGACCTTCGGCGGCAAGCAGTAGGAGCCTTGCGGGAGCTGAAGCAGCGCTGGCAAGGCGTCACGGCTGCGCTGCGGGAGCGGCAACCGGCAGCAATCTGCCGAGTGACGGCCCAGCGGGACGTGGGTTTCACGGCTCTTTTGATCATCCTGAGCTCGTGGCCGGATGTGTCCTATCCGTACGGGTTAATGTGCGGGCTCCCGGCAGTTGGATATGCGCCCCCCTATGGCATCTTCCCTGAGCAGGAGGCACGGCGCATCCCGTTCGAGGAGGTGGTGATGGGGGCAGAGGCCAACAACCAGCGGATCTTGGCCACCCTGCGATCAGGCAAAGACGATGTCTTTCTCCTATCCCAGTCCACCCTGGATGCGGAACGAGGTTTCTGCACCTACCCGATGCGGCGGCAAGAGCTTCTTCAGGCGGTGAAGGGAGCTCCCTTCCGTTAATGCCCAGGCGTGTTATCACACAGAGCTCTGGCAAGCAACGTATAATCGACAACGCCGATCAGGGGGGACAAAGCGAGTTGTCAGCTGATGCTAACAAATTGGTTTTGTGCACGCCCCTGCGCCCTGCGCAGCACATCCGAGCAGTGGTGGCACAGATGACCCCGGACAGCCTCCGAGCGGCGGCTGCGGCTGATTCCTGGGAGTCTGGGGGAGAGGACTGGCCTGATGCCTATCGGCATTCGCCGATGTCGCCACAGGAGTGCTTAGGCTGCGTGGTGGTCTTCTGGCACCATTTGTGGGCAGAGCCAGCCTACCAGCTTTATGCGGGTCTCTTGTTTGGGCTGCCCCTGGCGGTCACCAGTTTCAACCGGTATTCCAGGTTGGTGGAGTCCCTTGGACGCAGGCTGGTTTTTGTGCTGGTGTCAATGTATTTTGACGACGCGAGCTTGACAGACTGGCGTTCAGCGAAGGGGTCTGGACAGTGGGCCTTTGAGCAACTGAACGTCCTTTTGGGAACCTGCTTTGCTGAGGAGAAGCGCCAGGCCATGCAATCCCAAGGCGTTTTCCTGGGATTGGACCATGACATGTCTGAAGCTCTCTCCCATGGCCACGTGAAGTTCTGGGCCAAGGCGAAGTTGCACGGCAAGCTGCAAGGGATGCTGGTGGCGTCTCGTTCCACGCAGCGTCGCCCCGGGCGCAGCCGCCAAGGTGTACGGCCTGGCCAATTTCTTGGAACTCGGCATGTTCGGTAAGGTGGGGGCAGGTGGCCTGCACCCGATCCGGATGCGGCAGGACGAGAGGCACTCGACCCTGACCGCTGAGATTTGCCGTAGTTTCGAGCTGCTCGAAGCCGTGTTTCAGGTGCAGCCACGCCGAGCGTTTGAAGTGATGCACCGTGCATGCCCCCGCTGTTTCGCAGCGTCAGATGCAGCACTGGAAGTGCCTGGCGAGGGAACAGGAGGGTTCCTGATTGTCTGGTGTGATGCTCAGGCAGAATTGCGTGAGGGCTTCGTCGCCCAGATTCCGGCAGCCTTGTACCAGGTGTGGACACCTGGCGATCACAAGATTGCCCAGTTGGAGCTTTCCATGGTCCTGTTCGCCTTGATGGCTCGGCCTGGCAAGTTCCGACATCGCAGGGGGGTGTGGTTCATCGATAACACTGCCGCGTTGATGTGCTTGGTGCGTGGACGGTCGGCACAGCCGGACCTGGAGCACATGGCGCATTTGATACACGTGATTTTGTTCTCCTTGCAAACTTGGATCTACTGGGAATACATTCCATCGAAGTCAAACTGGGCTGATGCGATCAGCCGGGAAGGTGCCCGTGATCCTTGGCACCGTTCCAAAGGTTTCTCGACACAATCGACCGCTCTGCCGCTGATCATTTGGCATCTCCCGTTTCAGCGTTGATCTCGGTTGTGCACTTCCTTTTTGTGCCTTGGGATAGGTAGTGGAGTGCATTGGGGTGTTTACCCTGTCAGCTGTACACGCCGGGATGGCAGTGGGGAAGCTGACAGGGGGCCTGAGTGGGGCCCACTCAGTGCCCTACCTTAGCTCACTGGAGCATACCAAGGCAAATCCTCGGAGTTCGAGGTTTACTATCACAAAGGATTGCACCCGCTATAAAAGAAGTGCGAGAGAGCTGTGCGTTCGTGTTGAGTCATACACCATAGGAATGTTGATACTTACATCTATGCACAACCATCAGGGATCTCTTGTGCGTCACGCACCGTACATTCAGGGGTAAAAGTTGGCATGCTGTTCCGTTGTAGGGGTACATGGCATTGCGTCGAGGGAAATTTGGGATTGGCCAAATACTTCACTTTATTTGTTCTTCCACTATCTTCATCCTCACGTCCTTCAACATCAACTTAGCCCATTGAGCTGTGATACCAGAGCTTTGGTCCTTATCCTGGTTTGCTGACAGTACGGTAGGGTTTACACCTGGTTCTTAAGTTGGAGCTTCAAGCGTCCAAAGGTGGCATGAACAGCTCTTTGTTTCTGGTTGATGGATCGGTGCTTTATCTACCCAAGTTGTACCCAAGTTGCAACTGTTTTTGGAGGAAGCCTAATCTAGAAAAAGGCGAGCATTTTGTGTTCTAAGGTGTGAGGCGTACTAGAGTGAGATACCAAGGTGCTGCAGATGCAAACGTGCTTGCATCTCAGATGCTTTCTTAGGCACCTGCATGGTCTCTGCCAGCCTGCGTTTTTTCAGGTTTCACATTGGCTTTGTTCAAGGGTGAGGAGTAGGCATGTTTCATGAACTTAGTGGTTGCAGCGACAACTGTACTCATGGCCGGGTTGCATGCACAACGTAGTCCTTGTCATTTTCCGAACATGCGAGAGTGAAGCTTTCAGACAATGCTCAGGTCTCGCGCAGATGGCTGCACGCCCTTGCATTTGGCTGCTTTCACAGGCACGGATGGGAGATGGGCCTTGAGTGATAACACGGTCAAAATAAGACATGGGTCGGACTGTCTTTATGTTGGAACCGCGTGTTTGATGTGGCAGGTCAGAGTTTCAAGCTGAATAGTAGGTTACTTTGACGTTGACATTCAAGGAAACGCCTGTTCAATATTGTGTTTATTAAGTCTTTTGAGTCGCAGGTGCCTGCATGGGTGGGTCGCGTGCATTGCGCTGACATGGTTGGCCCGCAGATGTGCCACATGATAGGATCGGCTCCTTTCGTGGAGCTTTTACTTGGTAGCCGCCCGGAGCCCTGGTTGGAGGACTGCGCAAGATGGGCTCTTCCACGACTCTTCCTTCATGTGTTTGGTAATGTTTGCGGTTTTGTGACCAATTGCTTGCACGAGCTGCCGGTTTGCCTGCCAAAAACGCATAGTGACCAAGCACAAAGCCACCAACCCAGCAATGAACGACCAAGTGCGCTCGTGGACAAGTCTTGTGAGCGAGACTGATGTCGGCGTTTTAGAACATGACACCATCTAAGACTACTCCCTCCCTTGTGCCAAATTTGGTCAGGTGCCGATGCCTCATTGACTACACAGAGTGGGCTCACACCGCTGGCCTTGGCCAGGCACCACATGTTTCGGATTTGACACGACTTTGCTTTTGAATTCCGGAGATGTGTGTGGTGTGTGGTGTGTGGTGTGTGGTGTGTTGTGTGTGGTGGGGCTTGATGTTGATGAGAAGCTGCGCCTGGAATGTGACCGATGGATGGACCGGGATAGGTAGCATTGAGGCACTGAGGGGCAGATTTGGGTTGTTCTGCAAGCTGAATCAGATTTCATGGTGGTAGTGGTGGGGTGTCTGACTTTGTGGAAAAATATGTTGCCTTCCTTGTGCCAATTGCTTCAAAATCTGCCCTCACAGGCAGCTTGCGAGTAATTAGCTTCCAGCTTTGTAATGGTGTCTGAAGCCTCAACCCCTGCCAGGCAACATGGATTCCAGGCCTTGGTGAGGCTGTTGGAGTGACTTTGACCCGTGGCCTTTAAGGCGGGAAAGAGCTGGGCCAGGGAATTCCATGCACGCGTGCATTGTACAGACCGGGAGGGTTCAAGCCTTTGTGGAAGGACTCCATGTCTGAGCCGAAGGCTCCAATTCCACACAATGCAACATATTTAAGGATCTCGGGTCAGCTAAAAACCCATGCCAGCAGCAGCAGATCGATGGCTACAAATGCGAACCCAGAGATCCTCACTACATGTGAAGCCAAAAGACTTACAAGATTTGCCAAATTTCGTGAATCAAACGACATGCTGCCTTGCCATTGTCCGATGTACTTCAGGTGCAGTGGAAGAGCTGTCCTTGTTCTAAGCTCGTACACAGGACTCATGCTTGCCAAAGTGTGCCGAGTTTGCTACACTTTGTCCGTGGGTGCGTGACCCGCAGTGGATGCACCCCCTTCCAGACACCCTTCTTTCTGCAAAGAAACAGCCATCCCGTTCCTCGACGTTGAGCTGTTTGGGAAGACCATGTTAGTGTCAAACACTCAACATTGAGGGAAACGTGTCGAAATGAGGAGCCTCCTAAAGGTTAAGGTTGATTCCCAAAAACGAAATGAGGAAGAAGAATTGCGGTCACAAACATATGGTCAAAAGTTCATCACATGCCTACATAAGCGTTTGGCAGCTGCCAACATGGCACGAGAGTCTCGGTTGTGGACACGGACCGTGGAGGCCAGAAGTTTACAGAGTCAGATCTGACAGCTCAGAGTGTTTTTGCAACTTGCTGCAAGAAAATGCTGTTTTCGTTTGCCGTGTTGCGGTCCCGCTCAGGTGGATCAGGAGCGGAAGATCAGCTTATGCCTTGTTGAGGATCCGACCATTGATGTTGGGGGATGCTTGGCTGCATTGTGTCATGTAAGTTGGACCATTTGGCTCATGGTGTGGGACAGGTGTCTCGTATGGATTGTTTTGGTAGAATGGTGTGTCCAGAATTCCATCTATTTCCAGCTGGCACTTTTAAAAGTTGTTTGCGCGCGGCTTATGTTTTGCCTGATTTGGCAAGAGGTTCGGGGCCCTTCTTTTTGCCAAGGCGATGATTCATGGTGCTCCTGGTGTCTTTGGCCTGCAGCGAAGGCAGGGAGGAAAGAGACAGTCAAAGCAGGTCCCAACAGAATAGCTTTCAGATGTTTGTTATTGTTTGTTTGCCCGCAGGTGTTGATGTCGTACCTGGCAACGATCCAAGATGGAGACCTGAAGCACACCAGCGTTTTGGAACTGGGCTCTGGCTGCGGAGCAGTGGGCATGTATGCCGCAAAGCGAGGACAGGACGTTGACAGCACAGCCGGCTGGCATCCCAGCATGGTCAAGGGATGTCACCCTGCCTTTTCTGGCAATAGTTCGACAGAAGGTCACACCTCACTGTACCCGAGTGTCTCAAATCCCTTTGCAATACAAGCAAAACGGTGGTCTCACGAAAAGAGGCACCTTTTTCGCCCATAGATATTTAGCACTTTTCGTAATTTGAAAGATTTGGGACCAGACTGTTTTGGCCCCAAGCCCTCGCCTCATAGGAGCCGCGCCAGTGATCCTCTCGGATGTGTACAAGGCGTTGCCCTTGCTCAAGCGCAACGTCCAAGCGAACAGTTTGAGCGGCGGCTGCGGAATTTGCGCACTGCCGCCTGCCAAAGAGATGGAGAGCACTTGCTGCCAATTGATGCATGCATAGCAAGAACCTTTTGCCGCTTGATGCGGATAGTACGATCTTTGTACATAAGCGGGTGTTCAATTTGTAGTGGCACATTTGAGCCATCAAGTTGTTCAAGCCATTGAGTTTAGAGAACTGTCGTAGCCAAGGCCGTGGGGCACCCCAGCCGAGCGGCTCTCCAGTGAAGTTCAAGAGAGACTTCCTTTCGACTGGGTGTTGGCCGCTGACTGCAGTCGCTTGGCGGTGCAACGGGAAGAAAGAACACATCCTGCCCAGCAAGCCGCTTCCTTCTGCATGCCAGGCTATGACTTCGTGAAGGCGGACATTCCAAGCCCCTCCATCGAGGCATTGCTGACGACGGCCAGCTCTTTTGGCAAGCGGGCTTTGATTTGTGTGTCACGCCGGCAGGGTGAAGTTGAGGCTGGACTTTCAAAAGATTGCAGCACCATGGTAAGTACTCTTCAAGGCATGTGTGTCTGAAGGCGTTTACAGCTTCCTTGGCCCGCATGGGACTGGCCGACGCCGCCACGGTTGTCTTCACAGCAAAGCTTGATGAAGTGAAGGAGGGCGTAGCCGAATGCTTAGTGTACGCCTTTGACTTCAGCAACGGTCAGCGGCTTGGAACAAAAAGAAGACATTGAATTTGCACAAAACTGGGTGAAACTGAGTTCGCAAAGAAGAGTCTTCTCAAGATTGAATTGTGCCCTGAATTTGGTTTTGTCTAACACAAAATGAGGAAGACAAGGCTGAGGAATTGCCTAGTTCTCATTGAGAATTGTAACCACAAATTGAATTGGTTAATTTGAAAATATATTGGCATACTTGTTATAATTGAATTTTGGGAAAATAAATAATATACATTTTAAAATTATTATATTATTTATTAATGCATTTAGTTTGAATGGATAATTATCATAAATTTTATATATACAATATATTCTAAAATTTTAGAAAAATAATATATATATATATATATGTTATTATGATGTATGTAATTTAAAATTATGGTTATGATTTATGTGGTTAATCGTTAAATTAAAATATATATTTATATAATTATAAATATTTGAATAATGTAAATTTATATTTATTTTATTAGAAAAAAATATATTTGTGTAATATAATGATTTTATATATTTTTAATTTAAAATTTTATTTATATAGAATATATTATATATGTAAAAAAATATGATGGGTAAAATATAGATGGTCTCTTATAAATCGGTATGGCCTCGAGGTCGTATTTCTCTTGCACCGGTAAGCCGTTGTAGCGAGATTTCGGCCGAATTATAGTGTTTGTGGCGAGCGGATATGTTTGTCTCGGTGTTTTCTCCGCGGCATTTGCGCGGCCCGGAAGGTCCCGAAATTTTGCCGAAATTTCCTAATTTTGCTTAGAGTTGTTATGGCGTGTAATCCGGCCACTTTGTTTTGCGAATTTTCGGTCGCTTCCGGCGATGCGATTCTTAGATTTCCGGACATTCCCCGTAAATTTCCACAGAATTTGGTGGTTTGCCGAGGACCTGTCCGAGTCGAAATTTTGCCTCTTTCGGTGCTTCTTAGTCTGTTTTTGTAATCTCTATCTTTCTCTGTTTATGTTTGTGCATCTCTGTGTATCCTAATCAGTTTCTTTTTGGTGTTTGCGCCTCTCTGTCTCTATTTGTCTGTTTGTGTCTCTTTGTCTCTCGGGTTGTCTCGGTTGGTCTTTCTTTGTCTATATGTGTCCGTGTCTGTCGTTTGTTTCTTGTTTCTGCGGATCGTGTTAGAAAGATGGTATACACCGCATCTCCCCTTTTTAAGCTCCGCGGTTTTTTTTTTTTGTTTTTTTTTTTTTTTTTATTTCGGATTGTTATTATTATTATTCCAATTTTCTCTCTCTCTTTCTCTTTCTCTCTCTCTCTCTCTCTCTTTTTCTCTCTCTTTTTCTTTCTCCTTCTCTCTCTTTTTCTCTCTCTCTTTCTCTTTCTTTGTCCTTTTTTGTCTGAGAGAGAGAAAAGGAAAAACAGCTCTCTTCTCTCTTTCTCTTTTTCTCTCTCCTTGATGCCGCCTTATCGCCCATAGGATGAGGAATGGTTTTGCCTAGGTCTTGTTGGGGTATCGGCTAATTTTTCCCGGGACCGGCGATACCCTTGCGGAATGATTGCCTCCATTTTGGTTATCTTCGTTAGCAGAAACTCCTCTTGCCATGGGTCTCTCTCTTTCTCTCTCTTTCTTTCTTCTTTTCTCTCTTTCTTTCTTTTATTCTCTCTTTTTTTTCTTTCTCTTTCTCTCTTTCTTTTTGTTTCTTTTTCTATGTATTTTTAATTCTCGGTTTTTCTTTTTATTTCTATTATTGTGTTTTCTCTTTCCTTTTTGTTCTTAGGTTTTATATTTTTGTTGTTTCCTTCTTTTCTTCTGTCTCTGTTTTGTTTTGTTTTCTTTTGAATCTTTTCTTTTTGATTTTTTTTGTTGGTATTGCCGTTGATGGAATTAACGGGTTTCTTCTAATTTTATATAAATTAGATTTTTATGATTTTAGATTGTTTAATTTTAATTTGAAAAATATTATTTTTAAAAATATAGGATTTATTTCTTTTTGTTTAACCAAAAATATAAAATGTATTTATTTTCAAATTTCAGTTCGAAAATTATAATTATATTATGTAAAATTTGTATTTAATATATGTGTTTTTAACGATCTTAATTTTAATAATTATAGGGTTGTAATGTAAATTTAATTATTGAGATATGTTTATAATTCCGGCATGATATTAATAAATGAAATATATTTTTATAAATTCTAGCCTATAGAGTAATTTGCGTTAAGTATTTGGTCGAATATTTGGAATTATATTTTATATTCTATTGGTTTTAATATGCATATATATGTATCATTCTATTGGAACCTTTGTATATCGGTTCGCTTTGCTTGTCTTTAATCATGTCCATTATGCTTTCGGGCCACCCATGATTCTAATTATATATTTTCTTTATTTTAATTTATTATTAAATTTTCCAGTTATATAAAAATTAATTAATATAAAGAAATTCTTTTATATTGATATTTATATATTTTATATATTTTAATAAATTCAGATCATTTTCCTAATTAGGATTAGGATCAAATTAAAAGTAAACCATTTATTCTGGTTATATTATAGTATATCATTCTTAAGTTCAATTAAATATTAAATAGAAATTGGATCGAATTTGATTAATTATATTAAATGGAATGTATAAGAGAAAAAAAAAGAAAATCTATATATATAATTTTATTTCTTAATTAGATCTACTATTATTATGGTCAGAAAACACCGTAAAACACAATGTTATATAATATATTTCATATTCAATATATATCTCCATCAATAAATATTCGCTAAATGTTCGGTTAAATTTAAATACAATTTGATTAAGATTCAATACGGAAATATTTAATTAAAATCCTAATAGTAATTAAATCGGAAATTTCGAGTTTAAATAAATATTCCCAATATATATATATATATAATTCATTTAGAATCTTAATAGGATGTAATAAGGAAAAACAAAATCCAAATCAATATTTATATTTAAAAATCAATATTCTCTAAATAAAAATGAATCTTAATAGGATTTAATAAGGAAAAAACCCAAATCTATATTCATATTTAAAAATCAATATTCTCTAGATATTTTTTTTTTAGAAATACGAATCCAGGTCAGAATGAAACCCATTAAAACCAACTAAAATTTCAGTTGAGCTTGGATTCAAGATTCCTTAGAATTGTTTAATTTTACAATATTCAAGATGGGCCTAAATTAAGGCAAATTAAGCTAATAAGCAGCATTTGGATGTTTGCACAACACTATGCCAAAGTACAACCGCGAATTTGGGTCTCGATTTAAACCGGTTTAAACCGATTTAGATTTAAATCGATTATGGATTTAAGATGCAAAATTCCAGAATCCAAACCATATTTTTCTAGGGAATCTTAAATCCATGCCTCGATTTAAACCGATTTAAATCGATTTAAATCAATTTAATCTAAATCGGACATGGATTTATGAATTTTGAATCTTTACAAAATTATGATTTTCGAGTTGGAATTGGAATTTGTATTTCGTGTAATAGATTTACAAGTCAAAATTCTGATTTTTTAGAAATGCATATTTTGTATATTATATTTGTGCTATAAAATTGTTATTTTCTAGCTAGAATTGGAAATCTATATTTCGTACATAGGAGTTGCATTACAAAATTACGATTTTCCAGCGCATGCTAGAGTCTGAATATAATTTATAATTAATATTTCTAATATATTTTTCTGAGCAATATTTTTAATTGATATTTCTAATCGATTTTTCTGAGCAATCCTTCTAATCGATATTTCTGATCGATATTGTTGATCCGCACTTCTGATTGACATTTCTGATCGACATCTTGAACAACACTACTGAACTACACTTCTGATTATCATTGATAGACAACACTTCTGACCCCCACAAACACTTCTGATCCACACTACTCATCGACTAAGCAACACTATTGAATTGACAATTCTAAACGATATTTCTAAATAACATGTCTGATCGATATTTCTAATCGACACTTTTGAGAAGTCCTTCTTATTAACACTTCTCAGCAACATTTCCGATCCACACTTCTCCTTAAGACTTCTGAGCAATACTTTTAAGCGATGAATGATCAATATTTCTGAATTAGATTTTTCTGCTCGACACTTCTAAGCAACACTTCTAAACGACACTTTTCTTGATCGATTTTTCTGAGCAATACTTCTGATTGAGCATAGCCTATGAAGGAGCTTGCTAACAATTTTGTTTTGGCGGAGCCCAACCCGCCCAATTATGTTGAATGCATAGGCATCTATATGGACAATTTTTTGGCGGCGGAGGAGTAGCTGCCCGTCGCTGGTCTCGCCTTGTTTATCACAGATTGGGCGGAGCTGCGCTTCTGAGCGACATATTCGAGCGACACCTAATCAATACTCAATTCTGAACGATATATATTTGATCGATTTTTCTGAATAACACTTCTGAATGATATTTCTGAGTGATATTTCTGAAAGATATTTTTGAACGATATTTGATTAATATTTCTGAACCATTTTGTTTTCTGATCGACACTTTTACATCGAAAATTGGCGCTAAACTACTTCGACCAATTTGAATATGTGTTAGGCTTGCTAAAACGATAGGATTAACGAAAACGATGCCGACATAAATATTATTACGCACCTAATAAGCAGGGCACCTTAAAGCGACCACCCCTAGATCGCAAATTCCATTGGCACGGCAACGAGAGCACGTAATTTTCTCCTGCTGGGCCCGGCAGTGGGGAAGTCGTCCAGCCAGTCGAAGATTGCCCGACCCCGGGATTCTGGGTTAATAGGGTGTTAAAAACGTTAAAAACATTAAATCTTTTTGGGCTTTGGGAAATATAATGAAAACAACAATATTATGGATATTTTATGTTTGATATAATTCGATTGAACACGGATTCAATTTATATCGGATATGAATTTAAGATTTAAGATTTAAGAATCCAGATCATTTTTACTAATATTAGATTAATGTACGAAATATAAATGTTCGATTCCTAGTAGAAAATCGCAACTTTATAATACAAATCCAATATATATATATAAAATCCAATTCTAAATAAAAATTATAAACTTATATTATAATTCAAATATATAAAATACAAATTTCGAGTTCCAACTAACAAATTACAATTCTATATTTCTAAATCTAATATACAAAATATATATATTACCTAAAATATCGTAATTTTATTATATAAATTCTAATTAAAAAATCATAATTTTAAAATACTAGTGGGGGCCCGCTGCTTTCCAGCAGCGTGCGAAATGAAGCCCATAACAAGAGAATAATAGAATTAGATCATGAAATAAAATATCATTCCAATTTAATAATTATAGATAGATATGTATAATTATATTCATAGAGATAAAAATCAAAGCACAATTTCGGAATATTTCGGCCTTGGATCCTACCCAAATAAAATATTTCAAAAAATTATATATTGCACTAAATTGGAGACCAAATTCTAAAAACCCAAATATCTAAAGACGAATTATAAATAGAATTTCTCAATAGCGTTTCTCAATAATACCTCAATTTACTTCCTAAAATATTACGATATACAAAATAACAATAACTCTCAAGTGCCCAATACCAACGTGTAGACAAAACGATCGATTCGTTCCGCAACAAATCATATCAATACGAATTCGATTAATCTAAACCAAATCTTTAAAATTAAGGCCAATTTCACCATCTCATCATTAATCTAAAATTTATCATTTAAATACCCATTTATAACACTCTTTTCTAAAGCTATAACAAAATAAAACCCCGAAAAATATAATCTCGATTTCAATTTTAAAATAAACCATTCATTCCTCCAAAAACATATTTCTTATTCCTCCATAAATTGTTCAACCAAACAATTTTTCGGGCTTCATATCCCAACAACAAATATAAATAATCTCTATGTTAAAATTATTCAAATTTAAAATATTCCAGCCTATATAATTTAAAACATAATTATTCTTAAATATTATATATACCTAAATATAATATCCTCTAAATTCCTATATAATAAATTCATAATAATTCACCTATGCAATATAAATTAATTCATAAAAATTAACCTATAAAATATCAAACAAAACAAATCAAAACAAACAACAAACAAACAACCAAACAATCAATCAAACAAACAAACACAAAAACAAACACACAAACAAACACACAAACAAACAAACAAACAAACAAAAAAACGGAACAAACAAAAACAAAAACAAATACAACTACAAACACACACACAGACAAACACAAACACACAAACACACAAACACACAAACACACAAACACACAAAACACACAAACACACAAACACACAAACACACAAACACACAAACACACAAACACAAACACAGACACACAAACAGACAGACACAGCGACACAGAGACACAGAGACACAGAGACACAAAAACACAGAGACACAAAGACACAGAGACACAGAGACACAAAGACACAGAGACACAAAGACAACGAGACACAGAGACAACGAGACACAGAGACACAGAGACACAGAGACACAGAGACACAGAGACAACGAGACACAGAGACAACGAGACACAGAGACACAAAGACAACGAGACACAGAGACACAAAGACACAGAGACACAAACACACAGAGACACAGAGACACAGAGACACAGATACACAGACACACAGAGACACAGAGACACAGAGACAACGAGACACAGAGACAACGAGACACAGAGACACAGAGACACAGAGACACAGAGACACAGAGACACAGAGACACAGAGACACAGAGACACAGAGACACAGAGACACAGAGACACAGAGACACAGAGAGACAGAGACACAGAGACACAGAGACACAGAGACACAGAGACACAGAGACACAGAGACACAGAGACACAGAGACACAGAGACACAGAGACACAGAGACACAGAGACACAGAGACACAGAGACACAGAGACACAGAGACACAGAGACACAGAGACACAGAGACACAGAGACACAGAGACACAGAGACACAGAGACACAGACACAGAGACACAGAGACACAGATCACAGAGACACAGAGACACAGAGACACAGAGACACAGAGACACAGAGACACAGAGACACACAGAGACACAGAGACACAGAGACACAGAGACACAGAGACACAGAGACACAGAGACACAGAGACAACGAGACACAGAGACAACGAGACACAGAGACACAGAGACACAGAGACACAGAGACACAAAGACACAGAGACACAGAGACACAGATACACAGAGACACAGAGACACAGAGACACAGAGACAACGAGACAGAGACAACGAGACACGGAGACACAGAGACACAGACACAGAGACACAGAGACACAGAGACACAGAGACACAAAGACACAGAGACAGAGAGACACAGAGACACAGAGACACAGAGACACAGAGACACAGAGACACAGAGACACAGAGACACAGAGACAACGAGACAGAGACAACGAGACACGGAGACACAGAGACACAGAGACACAGAGACACAGAGACACAGAGACAACGAGACACAGAGACAACGAGACACAGAGACACAGAGACACAGAGACACAGAGACACAGAGACACAGAGACACAGAGACACAGAGACACAGAGACACAGCCACAGACACAAACAGACACAGACACACAGACACAGACACAGACACACACACAGACACACAGACACAGACACAGACAGACAGACACAAACAGACAGACACAGACAGACAGACACAAACAGACAGACACAGACACACACAGACACAGAGACACAGACACAGACACAGACACACACACACAGACACACAGACACAGACACAGACAGACAGACACAAACAGACAGACACAGACAGACAGACACAAACAGACAGACACAGACACACAGAGACACAGAGACACAGAGACACAGAGACACAGAGACACAGACACAAACACAGACACAGACACAGACAGACACAGACACAGACAGACACAGACAGACACAGACAGACAGACACAGAGACACAGCCACAGACACAAACAGACACAGACACAGACACAGAGACAAACAGACAGACACAGATACAAACAGACAGACACAGACAGACAAAGACAGACAGACAGACAAAGAAACAGATACCAGAGACAGAGAGACCAACAGACACCGACAGAGAGACAGAGACAAAAAAACACACCTCCGCTGTGCGCGCCGGTTCTGATGTCGACATGCCACAGGCTTCGCCTGTGCACGTGCACGCGTCCGACTCCGAGCCCGAGAGCCGTGATGCAGACGGGCTGCAAGAACAGTCCAAACCAGCAATTAGGGGTAAGTTGAGGCGGTGCCAAAAAAGGGCCAAGCTCTCAGGCAGATCTTACAGAGCCCGCGCCGGCAAGACATTTTTTGCAACTCAGGCACCAACATATTTTATCATCTCATACGTATCAAAAAATGTATACTCGTCGCATGCAAAAAGCATGCTGCCGTTCTCCAAACACAGGTCGCGAGACGCACTGAGGGCCGGGCTGGTCGCGATAAGGTCACGCCAAAGAGTCAGTGAAAGGCGGTCGCCTGAGCAAGGTGAGAACGGATCCGCGGGCTGTTGGCCTCAAAAGATCCATCCACACACGCAGTTGTTGCAAGCGCAAGCGAAAACGCGATCGACCAGAAAACATCCTGGGTGCAAGCAAAGCCGAACTGATTTCGCCCAAAGCATAGGGAAAAACACCACTGGTCGCAACAATCGGCCGCGGCTCACAGCTTCTCGCATCGCCAAACTCTCGGAAGATGGGCCAAGATTTCAGCCAAAATTGCTACGGACAGGTAGATATATGCCCCGACTCTTTATCTGGAAGACACAACGGCTTCGTTCAACGGCTACGGATGGGGAGATATATGCCTAGACTCTTGATCTAGAAGACACAACGACTTCGTTCAAAGCCCGGACCATTTTTCCGAAATATCCAGGATATTTCGATAGTCGCACTCCAGACCATTTTTCCGAAATATTCCGGAGACGATAGCATTTCCCGAAATATTTGGAATATTTCGGGAAAATGGAAATATTCGGAATATTTCGAGAAAATGGTGGGTGGCTGCGATTCCCGGACCGCTTTCCCGAAATATCTGGAATATTTCGGGAAATTGGTCCCTACAAAAAATGAAGCCACTATGTCTTCCGCACATATGCCGGGGTAGCCCGGACAGATTTGGGCAAGCGGTCCGTAGGAAATATGAAGCGGTTACATCTTCCAGGGGCAGTCCAGACCAATTTTCCGAAATATCCGGGATTTTTCGGAAAAGCGGTCCGGGAAAACGCTCGCAAGTGCGACGAGCAAGTTTCACGGTTTCGTTTTATAGAGTAAATAAATCTAATATACAAAATATACAAGTTTCCAATAATAACTCAAACAAACATAATTATTTTTATTGCGAATATATATATATATATATAATTTTATAATATAAATCTAAACGATTTAGGAATATTAAATATGTATAATTGATGTATATTTTAAATTGTCTGTATGTTGTGGGAATGTGTTCGCGGCAAGCTGAAAATCTCCCTACAAAGAGAGAGCTTGTCCGGCTGGAGCTTCAAATGGCCCATGCTCCTTGGTCACCCAAAAAATAAGCGATTTGTGTCTCACCCCACGAATCCCCCGCCTGTTCGCGGCTAACCAGGACTGGGAAACGACTACTTCTGTGATACAACAAAAAGGGCTTCCCGAAGACTGGCCTCAATATAAAGGGGGAGATTCCCTTGTATCTAACCTCAGTATAAAGGGGGAGATTCCCTCGTATCACGGAACCCCTGATCTCATAACCCTGCGGCTGACTCAGGTGCATTTGTCAAGAAGGTATTCCTTTGAATTCGCTGCCTTGTTTCACATCCGAGATGCAGAGCTTGGAGGCCGGGGCGTTGTCGGCGGCCAGGCCACCGCCAGAGAGCTCCTTGAGGTCCATGCCTAGTCCAAATAGGCAACAGAAGTGCGGGGGTGCGGGGCCCGGGGTTTCTCTCTCTCAAACATATTCTGTGAATGCGGCCTGCGGCGACACAAGTGTCCGATGCCCTCAACAGCAAGAGTAAAAATGACACAGCTCATTGAATCCTGCAAACTACCCAACCAGGCGAAAACCACCAAGAAGTCTCCATAGACCGAACTGCTCTTCATCTTGTCGCCCAGCATGTACTTGGCGCAATCCTTACCGGCCACACGGCCGAAGACCACGCAGTCCAGCAAGGAGTTCCCGCCCAGGCGGTTGTTGCCATGCACGCCGCCCGCCACTTCGCCGGCGGCGTACAGCCCAGGGATGGCCTGTTCGAGTGGTTTCCCATGTACACACTGCACCCACAAGAACCAGGGGCTTCAACTCCCCAAACCAACCCAACCCACCAATTTTGGAGAAAAAAAAGGGGCGGCCAGTGGGCCTTGCCCGACTTGTCCACGCAGTTGGAATTGCCGTCGATCTCCAAACCGCCCATGCAGTAGTGGATCACCGGCGTGATGATTGCACTGTAGAACGGCTCGGTCTTCACCTGCCAATCAGTTGATGGCGCCCTCTGTCAAGCAAGGGTCATCACGGGCATTTTCGATGCCAGGAGACCATCAAACAGTTCCAGAGTCATGGCTACCCCTCAACCAATCTGCGCTTGGGCTCGCAAAGAGCAAGAGCCTGTTTGCCTATCATGCTTGCCAGTCACTCTCAAGAGACATAGCCTTGGAGCCGTCGATGATGTTGTGGAAGAACTTCTTGCCAACGCCGGTCTTTCCGCTGGCCTCGTCCCAGGTCTTGCCCGAAGGGTAGGCCGGGAACGGGCCGCCCTCCGGGTCCTTCTCCTGCGAAGAACCAAAAGTCACACACAAAATTCCTTGCGAGTTCGCGACGCCTTGCTGCTGTTCGCACCTCCGAAGGTGTGAACATCAGCAAAGCATCCCAGAGGTCAACTCCTGCTCTCCGCCTGTCTTTGTGTGTCTGCGCAGGCCACGTTTGCACGCGCAGACCAGTTCGGGGCCTTGGTGAAACATTCCTGCGAAGCTTTGAGGAGCACATGGCTCCAACGCTGGCGGTCAACCATGCAGGCTCAGGTGCATAGCGTTGTCCAGCCCATTCAAACAGCCGGGGGAAAAAAGAAGAAGCAAAAAAAACCAGAACGCCCGCCGCGGTCACACCCGCCACCCTCCCAACACCGCTCCTGCTTCTTGGCCGCCTCGAAGTGCGCCTGGTGAGTCGCCTCCAACGTGCTCACGGAGACGCCCATGTCTTTGGCAAGCTCCTCGCGAGCGCAAGGGCGCCAAAGGGCGAATGTACGTGTCGGGAACAGGCTTTAGCAATTTCACCATGTGCATCCTCACCACTCTTGTAGAACTTCATGACGCCGCGGCCGGTGTAGTGCTTGCAGTGCCAAATGATCTCATCCGAAGCAGCCTTGTTCAGGATCCTCATCCGGGCAAAGGCTCATGAAGCCGAGCCCAAAATCCTCCATTCAAGCAAAGAATTCAATCCCAGAGCGACTCTGTGCAAGACACCCTTTGGTGGGCATCAGGAGGGTGCTCCTCATGAATTGCTCTTTGCCATGGCGTCACTGAAGACATTTTGCCGGGCTGCAAGCGGTACGGGGCCTTGGACTTCCACATCTCTCCAGTGACATAGTCGCGACGGCCCAGCTCGTTGCAGAAACGGTGACCCTCCGCGTTGATGACAAGGCCGCCTCGGTGCGTCAGGTGCAGGCCTCGTATTGAGCCTCATGAGCCACATGAGCCTCATGAGCCACATGAGCCTCATGAGCCACATGAGCCTCATGAGCCATTCCTGTCTTGCCCAGGATGTGGGTGTGGCTCAAAATTACAGAGCTAGGGTTACGCAGGTGTTAGTCTTTGGTTCCAATTACCAAGGTGCCATTTTGGTACATCTTTTTGAGCCACAGCCATGTGCGACTATTGCATTCCGTTGGATGCCCGAAAAGTGGGAAGTACATGTGGCCATGGGTCAAAATCCAAATCGTACCCCCCTGAACATCCCGGTTCTAAAATGGGTGGTGAATTCACCTATGTACCCCAAAATGGGATCTCATTGGCTCGCCGCCGGAGAAAGAATAAGAAAAAACGCCCGCGCCGGAACGCGAACCTCGCCAGGGCACCAACGCCGCGCAGCGCCTCGGCGGCCAGGAACTTGATCTTGGCCTGGCGCGCCGCGTGGGCACCCAGTTCTGGACTGGAGCGGATGCAACCAACTGCACAAAGACATCAACACCTGCAACTGCAGGAGAAAAACACAAAAATGAAAAGCCAAAAAAGAGGGGGGACTTGCAGCTGAAGACTTGAATGCTGGGTGTTGCTTCGCAGAGTTGAAACTAGCGCTTCGCAAAGCCCTTGCAAGCCTCGGGGTCATCTGGCTCCACCAAGCCAGTAGGGTGCACCTGAGCGGACTGCATGTGGTCGCACAAGCCGAGGATTTGATAGCGGAAGGGATGAAACCGAAACCAACTGGACTCCAATGGAAAGACTCAAAGCTCCAGGGATTCTGAACCCGGTCGTACCTCTCACCAGGCTCAGCTTCCTCTTGGCACCTCGCACCCTGGAACTTGAGCCTGCCTGGACCCACTCGAGGTCGATGGAGCGAGCGCCGATCGCCTCACCCATCTTGATGCCGTCGCCTGATGAACAACTTCAGCCAATTGGGCACCAAGGATTTGTTTCCTCTTTGTCGACTGTTTTGGGGTGTTTCCTTTCACTTCCTCAGTGAAGCGAAGAAAATACGGACCGCACTGTCTGGTTTTCCTGGCTTAAAGACCCCCGCCCACCTGTGGTGTGATCCCCGTTGGTGGTGGGAAGGGCCAGCAAGTCTGGCCGGTACTTGGCGAGAAGCGAGTCCTGACACCGCTCAGCCAGCGGCCATCTCTGATTACTTCTCGCAAGAACTTGGATTGACGCGTCATGACCAAGCTGTTCCATTGGAATGACAAGACAACTTGGATTGACGTGAGGCTGTTCCATTGGAAGCAATCAAGGTATTCAAATGCTCTGCCAGCGCCAGAACCCGCAGGTCTCCAAAGAATCAATGCAAGCTGTGGCTTCTGGCCTTGCCTCCTTCCTTTCAGCCCATCCCACCCCCCCCCCCCCCCCCCGCCATGCCCATCCTCGGTGAAGTCGGCCCCGAAGCCGCCGGTGGCCAGGATCACGGGGCCCTCCTCCGTCAAGTCCTTGCCTCCCAAAAGCCGGGCCATCGCAAACGGATCCCAAGCACCGCGTCAAAAAAAACTCCGACGCCTGGCGACTGGTGGCATGCCCACTGGAGAAACACCGGACGGCCGGACAGCCCACTCTTCCGGCACTTCACTCAAGTGACCCATCCCCGCCTTTCTTCTCGTAAAGGACACCGCACACAGTGCCCGACTTCGTGAGGAGCTGCTTCACCTTCGCCTCTCACGAAGGCGGCTTCGTAGCAATGAGGCTGCCTTTCTTTAGGGTACTTGCTGCTCTGGGGGGCTGGTGGTTGAAGGGACACCAAAAGGAAACCCCGCTTTTAAGGCTCCGCTTTTTTTGGACGATCCCATGTTGTGAAAACCGGCACGTCCTGCCTAATGTTGTTGAGTTGAGGGAAGCGAAAAGAAATCAATGCAATTATGCAACCATGTTAACATTTAGCCAAAAGTTGAGGGATGGAAGGAAAAAGCTCATGCGGGACATGCGTTGTCTTGCGTGCTTGAGATAAGATGGCGGATAGTTTGTGCCGTTTATGTTCAAACTGCTTTTGCTGAATGAACTACTTGGAACCAAGACAGCTTTCGAGCATCAACTAAACGTGAGCCAGTTGAGTGATGAGTCCATGCTAAGATTATATTGGCATGCACGTGCATGCCCATACTTGGCTTGCATGTGGGTGCCCATGTGAGAACATGTATCTCTGCATCTCACAAGCTTGGTGGTGTGAGCTTGACTCACACCAAGTAAAGCTAAAACATGAGACATACAAGCTTGCTAAATTGGAACACACACAAATCGGACCTTCGGTCCAACGTTAACCATGAGACTATGTAGTGGTCCGCAATCAGCGGCGATCCATGAGCCATCCCATGCAGGAACAAAGAAGCAGTGAAGTCCGAGCGCGTTTCTGCAATGTGTGTTTCTCCCACGCTCTTGAATCCAGCCTTGTTGATGATACGGGCCAAATCGCTGCGCTCCGAAATCTTCTCGACCATCTGGATCAGGGCGTAAGTGATGGTCATTCCTGCTCAGCTGAAAGCGTGTCGGAATGGATAATCTGATAATCTGTATCATCTCACAGCACGGCATGGTTCCCAACGCACTTTGCCACATTGGCTAGCTCTCCGAACCACAAACGCTTCTTTCTACACGAGAGGCTGGCTGCGCGCCTGGGAAGCGCTCCTTGCCACGGTGGGTGCGGGGCGCAGAGTGCCCTCCCAGGCGCGCCAAAAGGGACCTGAGTCTCTGAGCTGTGCCCAGAGGGGGCCTCGCAACTTGAGTGTAGCACAAGCCACGAATCTTCTGGGAGTCCCAGGGCCCGGACATGTCAAGATCGAACTTGTCGACGAGCCAGTCGACGTCAGCGCCGCTGTTCCCACAAAGCACCTATTGGAAACCAGGGCGCACGCACGGCAAAAGCGGCTCGCCACGTTCCGACAGTTGCGCTGACAAAATCCAGCACATGGCAATAACGCCAACAAAACCCGTCCTTCCAATTCTGGATGAGACCTTCCCACCCTTCCCTCCCTTCCCACCCTTCCCACCCTTCCCACCTTTTCCAGGCTTCCCAGCCTTCCCAGCCTTCCCAGCCTTCCCAGCCGTCGAAACGGGAGGGATCAGGCCCCCACCCCCCGGCTCCCGCCTTGACCAGCTCCGGCTTCTTGGCCCCGCCCTTCAGGGTGTCCGAGGTGAAGAGCTGCACCGAGTCATCAATCTTCTTCTCCTGCGACCGCGAGCACGCGAGCGCGAGCCGTCGAAGTCTTTGGGAGTCCGCCGGAGCATAGGTGTTGTAGGGGAAATAGATGGGCTTTTCCCTGGTAGATAATTAACCAGAATCGCCATCTAATTGTCGAGCAAAACAACCAAAAAGGACACCTAGGCGCTGGAGTTGGTTCCCCCTTCACCCCCTTTATCGGCATACGAAGAGGTCGCCAAAGCACAGTCGAAATTTTCGAACACACCGAAACGGAAGCTTGGAGGGGCTGCACTTGACACCGTTGCACTGGAACCTTCGGCGGTTGAAACCGCCTTCTGAGTCTTGGTCTCAGCGCCGTTGATGCCGCTGGTGGCCTGCGCTAGCCAAACTGTGCCCCAACTCTGCACCGCTTGCCACGCAACGATTGTCGTCCTTGTTTGACCGGGGCAAAAGAAACCCACAGAAAAAACACACGGCAGAAAGCCCGTGCCGAACTTGCCTTGGTGGAGTTGCCTCCGCAGAAGGCAGACTTGTCCACCAGCACCACCTGCCATGCAAAGGACTGTACTGGCGTCATGAGCATTTGCTCCGCATGAACACCCTGCTTGATTGGCTCCTTCTTTCTTGTCCAGCTGCATCATGCTCTGCCTTCCCTTTGCAGCTAGAGCGCTTCACTTGTTTTTCATCCCAGATGATCCGGAAACTTGTCGGAGACGAACTTCTTGGCCACGCCAACGCGCAGTCTGCTCTGGCAAGTGACGGAGGTGCACTAGGTGGCAAGCTCGTACATGCATGCAGCTGAAGGAAGCGGCCAGCAGTAGGTCGGCACCATCTTGTGCAAGGCTGGTGGTCGGCTCATGTCGTTCGTGCCTGTCCTTGTTCAGCGAGCCAAGCTTGACCCAGAGCTTGGTGTCCTCTTGCAACTGCGCTAGAACATACCTGCTCCCAGCATGATGTCCATGACGTCGCGGTGGCCATTGGACGTAGCCTTGCAAAAGGGAGTAGCACCCGTGTCATCGTCCAAATTGCACGCGTTGCTCGCCAGCAGCAGCCGGACAATCTCGGACTTTCCATTTGAGGCCGCTGCATGCAGCGCCGTTGCGCCGCTCTCATCCCGCGCATTGACGTGCGCAGTGGCTGCAATGAGGCACTCCACGACTCTCCCGTGATCTCCAGACCGGCGAACCACGAAGCTCTTTGACGGGCTGGCGGGCGTCGGCCCTTTCGCCACCCTTCGCCATGGCCGGCCAGCTGCGGCCGCATGCAGCGGCGTGACGCCGTGGCGGTCAGGTGTCTGAGCAGCGCCGCCACCCAGCAAGACTTGAACGGCGCGCAGGTGACCACTCCGCGCAGCCAGCAGCAAAGCCGTGGTGCCATCCTGGTCCACGCTGTTCACTCTGGCGTCATACGCCAACAAGGCAGCAAGAACCTCGTGCTTGTCGTGGCTGGCTGCTGCATGCAGGGGACCGGCGCCTATGCGGACGCCAGCCCTCAGCAGGATGCGTACAACTTCGTCGTGGCCTTCAGAAGCAGCCAGGCACAATGGAGTGACACCTTCCACAGCCTGCTCCTGATTCGCTCCTGCATCAACCAACGCCTGCACCAGGCTGCTGCAGCCTGTGCTGACTGCTTCGTGCAGTACAGTGCGTCCTGCCAAGTCCAGCTTGTTGACATCTACTCGCAGGCTGAGCCTTTGTCGGTCTCCAGCAGAAACAATGCCAAGTTATGCGCACCAGTGTGTCGCCGTACAGTTCACAAACTGCACCAAGACGAAGGAGAAAAAACAAAAGGGGGGGGAAAGGCCCAAGGCGGAAAAACAAACAGAGAAAACAAATAAAACAAAAAAAAGAAAAAGAAGAAAAAAAAACTCGCCAGGGCGCAGGAAGCGCAACGTCTCCAGCCGCACCATCCGAGCCGCGAGGTGCAAGGCCGTGGCCCCCGCGCGGTCGCAGCCGTTCACGTCCGCCCCCGCGGCGTGCAGCGCCCCGAGGACCGCCAGGTCCCCCAGCGCGCTGGCCCTCATGAAGGCCGAAGACCCGTCCTTGTAGCACACGTTGGGGTCCTGCAATCCTCACAGCAAAAGAAAGAAACCACACATCCCACGCACTGGCACCGGAAAGAGAAGATCTTTTTTGAAACAACAGTGTGAAAGGGTCGATGATGAATGTTTTCACAATGAGACCAAGCGTCTGTCAATAAAGCCACACACCCCTGCAGCATCCTGTATGGCAACCGCCTGCAGAAGCTCATCCTCAAAGTCGTTGCATGCAGGCAGCGTCACCAGCTGGGCAGGGCTGACTTTCCTACACCTTCTCACCTCTCAAATGCTAGTGCCCCGTAGATCAAATCAATGTGCCAGGCCTTTGTTGTATGAGCACCCCACTTGCATGTCAAAGGCATCTTAGCCTGTGATTTTGTTTGAAAACATATTTCCGGGGATGTCAACATGCTGAATGCTGGTGCCCTCGCCCGTCCCAAAAACTGACGCCTGAAGGAGACAAGTTTAGTCACACCGAAACATCAAAAGCTCCCGTCCTCGCGAAACATGAGAGAACCTCAACCGTGTCCTCTCAACGGGGCTTGTTCAGAGGCGGAACCCTGGAAAGTGGAGACATGGACCAAAACATAAAACCTGCGCGACCCCTCCTGTTTAATTTTGAGCCACACCCACTTTTACGGATCCCACCTGCAGCTCTGCGGGCTGTCCAAGAGACCTCCAGGAGTCCGCCGACGACAGCAACCGCCCCTCCAGCGAGAACCTGAACCAGCGACCCCAGCGCTCACGAAAAAATCTCATCGACCCCACGCCGGGTCCTTCCGGGCGTTTGTTGCTTGTATTTTGTGAGTCCTTGTTTTGTTCTCCCCTAGTGTTGTGTGCTGCGTGTTGTGTGTTGTGCCTCCTCACTGCCATTTCTGTCGCTAGCTCTTGATTGTCTGCACTGTCCTTTCTCTCGGTTTTGTCCAAATGTTCGACCTTCTTGATGTCAATAGAGAAACAAGCTGACGTGTTGTGGCGGTACCCTTCAAGTGTTCGCACTTTTGTTTCATGTGCGCGTTCTTTACTACCCGATCCAAATCGGCTTCTTCGGCAAATATGCTTCTATATCTGCACCCTCACACCTGATCAGATACGATCGCCAAGGCTCGCGCAACCAAGCTTGACCAAAAAAGATGCAGGCCGTTCACATGTCAATGTGTTAAATTGCGGCTGTTGTGAGCATGTATCTGGCGGCAGAGGCACCATCCCAGGCAATGTCACCCGACTGTTTGCGAGTGCAAATAGGAATGGGATGGCCACACTGCCTGCATGCTGCAAGATGCTCTCAAGCGTTGCATGGAATTGTGCCCATTGCACTAATCAAAACGCTGTATTAAAATGGTCTACCCAGAACCATGTAAAGAATTTAGAAGGCGGCCGCAGCTATTCATTGTTGGGATTGTCCCTTACCAACCTTTATCTACCCGGGTTTTGATTGTGGCTCAAGTCGGGAAGACAGCTGCTTCAAGCGAGAGGCATCACTTTTTAATCGAATCATCTGCTGAGATATCATCCGACAGGATATTTACCCGTCCTACACACTACTGCTCGAGGTGTTCGCAAAATATTTGTATGCTGTTCTGTTGTTTACTATGTTCATGCCATCATGCTTGTATTGCTCTTCGTCCGGCTTATCCAATATCCCGGCTTCATTCAAAATCACGGTGGTTCTGCATTTGCTGCTCTCACTGGTCTGCTTGTTTTGCTGTCTGTGTTCTCGTGTTCGTTGTGATGCTCCGTGCTTTTGTTTCATCTTTCTTCATCGTTCGTCCACGAAGCTGGTTAGTCAAGTCGGCTGATGAAAATTATAGGTGTTTTTAGCACTGGTGTAGAACGATCGAAGAATTAGGATTTAAATAAATAGAAACAAGGACCGAAACGAGACGCAAACTGGGACCGAAACGATGCCGTTCCCCATGGCCAGCCTGAACCCCATCCCTTGCCACGCCCAGTGTTCAATCCCTTTGGGCAGCACTGGGCAGCTCCTGTGCAGCAGAGACCACCCCATATTCAGCTTGCACATTTGAAATTATCGTCAACATCATCATACATGTATCACGACTGGAAGTGTACAAAAAGGGGGTCTGTGCGCTGTCTTCGTGCTGAATACATTACTAGTGTGTGGGTGTTGTTCTTGTGAGTTCGTTGTCTTCCTAAGGAATCCAGTTGCAGTTGCAGTTGTTGTTGGGTAGCCGTACATGCATACCCTGACACGATGACTAGACTGCGACACCACCCAACAAAGCTACAAATGTGCACCAAAGCTGACGACCTCCAGAAGCCAAACCCAAACCCAAAGACATAAAGATGCGGGCGGTACCACGGTGCCAACGGCTCGAAGAGAAGGCGGCCCGCCTGAGTCGGCACCCTGGCAAGGTGATGGCTCTCCCCACACTCCGCGCCAGCTCCAGCGCAAAGCCCTGCTCCGGCAGAAACCTGGGGTCCACCTTGCGGGACTTGACCGTCTGAGCATGAGACAAGCTCTCATAGTCGCGTCTGTGTCTAGTGTTTGCTTGCGATCTGCACGAAAGGTAAATGCAAGCATCCTGCGTCGCTCTTGCGGTCGCGATTTGCGATTTGTGCCCCGCACCTCCTGCACAACTTCTCCAGACAAGGCGATGACCTTCAAAGATTCCGGGCTCTGAGAACCTTCGCTCTGAGACTCGTCCTCCAGATCAGAGCCATCTGAGTCGTCTGTCAAAGTGCAGTCGCTGGCCATGGGTATAGTTTCAGCATGGCAGCGAAGCGTTGTAAAAAATGTGCCTCATGTTTTTGTTTTCAGACCTAACCAGCACTCGAGCCCGAGCCATCTTGGGAGCGCGCCAAGCATCTGATCCGCAAAACATGGCTTGATGCGCTTCACGCACGTTGCAAGATCTGAGGAACATGAAACTGCTCCAAATCTCAAGATCAATTCCAATCTGCGCCTTGCCGCCACACTCGAGAACGCTGTTGGCTGCCGAGACGCCGGCAAGGCCTCCTCCCACAACCTAAGAGCATTGTGCTATACACGAGAAGCTCTCCGTCGCACTGCCAAAATTTTGTTTTGAACTCGCGTGAATGGAGCTCGCGTGCCTGGTCATTCCACGAGCCTCAGCCTTGTGAGAATCTGAAAATATTGCCAATCACGGCAGGGTTCTTGAAAAGAACGTTCTGGCCGTTCCCAGCCTCTATCAGTGTGGCAGGCAAAGGCAAGTTAAACAATGGCGTTCTGAACAAAAAGACGCCTTTCGTGTGTGAAACCTGCTCAACTCGTCTTGCTGAAAGCGTCGGCCAGGGCCTCATCAATCCGCCCCGGGCGGGTGCTGGGCTCATCCAGCTGAGACATGCCCCTGCGGCGCACAGCGCCCCGGATCTCACAAGTGCCCTTGGAGCAAACCAGGGCGGAGCCGTGGTGCAGGCCAATGGTGTCGATCTGCCCGCCCATGGCGTGGTCCAGCAAAGTCAGGGACATGTCCCACAGCTTCATCTCGTCCTCCCAGCCTGGCAGCACTGCGCACTGCCCCGCCAGCTGCATGCCCTCCGTGTTGCTCTGCAGCAGGTCTTGCAGGAGCAACGCCTTGGGCTTCGTGGTCAAGGCGAAGTTCTGGCCCCCAACCATGGCACCAGCGCCTCTTCCCAGGAACACTAGCGACTCATCCCTGACGCGATCACGGATCATCTGGCCAAAGCTAGGGGCGAACTTGTTGTAGGCAAAGGCCAGGAGATCAGGGTTTCCATCATTGACGACCACCACCGCGGCCTCTGCCAGCCGGCGCTTCAGTTCGGGCATGCACTCATGGTCTTCCGTGAGCTTCAGAGGCGTTTGCAGCCTCACAGATTTCGACTGCAGCTGGAAGAGCGCTCGCTTCTGCTCGTCGCTGGCGCACAGGTCCAGCACGGAAAGGTGGGTGATAGCGCCGAAGCCCATGTCACCCACACCTCCCAGCCCTGACGGGCACTCAGTGCAGCTCACCAGCCCAGCGTCCATCCCGACGAAGCCATCGGTTGCCTGGCGCACGAGCTCCACGTCGGTCTGCATGCCTGCCGCGATGTGGTTCACCCCTGCGGGATTGGCAAAGTCCGCGTTGGCGGCGTCCCAGAAAGCGGACGTGAGGAAGCCGGCGTCCTGAAGCACCAACACCTTCAAGCCCTGGAGGCCCGCTGCTGGCGCTGCTGGCGCCGCTGGCGCCTCTGTCGGAAGCTCTTGCACCAAAGCTTGGAAGGCCGCTTTGGCGTCCTCCGACTGCAGCCCGTCACTTGCCAGCATGACCAGCGCTTTGCTTCCCGACAGGTGGCATGCAGGGGGCACAGGCTCTGCTGGAGTGTGCCAGTCTACCTCTGACGACGCACGATGCTCGTAGGCCTGCTTGTAGGCGGCATAGATCCGATCCAAATGCTCCTCGGAGGAATCGAAGATATCCGGAGAGTCATTCTTCCCAACCATTGAGCATTTCCCATGGTCGCAAGCCAAGCCTTCCCCGTTGTTGGCCAAAACCGCGACCTGCCCCTTGGCCCGGGTAGTGACTCGCGTAGCAATGTTCCACAGCAAGTTCTTGTAGTGAGGCCGCAGGCTGCACTGACCTGCCAAACCAAGTCCAGAGCTGTCACCATGCAGCAAGGTCTCAAGAAGCAGCGGGTTTGGCTCGTAGGTGGACGCAAAATCTTGAGAGGCAGCCATTGCCCCTGCGCTCCTTCCCATGTACAGCAAGCTGCCGTCCTGCACGCGCTCTTTGATGAGCTGGCCCACTTGCGGGGCAAAACGCGTCAGCACAAAGCCGTACAGATCGGGATTCCCGCCATTCGCAAAAATGACGTCGGTATCATCGAGCAATGCCCGGAACTTGCTGATGCAGGGGTGTGCGTCGCTGATGGGCCCAATTGGCGTGGATGGCTTGATGTTCTGCGACTGCAGTTGGAAGAGCGCCTTGGCTTCCTCCTGGCTTGCACAAAGGTCCAGGATCGACACTCTCTCAAAGGCATCCTCGTCCAAGCCGATGCCTCCAAGTCCCACCTTTGGCTTGGAATTATCGTATGCCCAGCCTCCATCCAAACCCTCATAGCCATTGGTCCACTCCTCCACCATCTCCGGCTGGATATGTATGCCATTGCCGCTCGACTTCAACTTCTGGTAGTTCAAAGCAAGGTCTTTGGCGAAGTTGGGGTTCGTGGCATCCCAGAAGGAGTTCTTCATCATCGAAGCATCAATGATAAGCAAAACCTTCAAGCCCTTGAAAGGGTTGCTCTTATCAGTGACTGAAGGCAGCTTTTTCACCATGCTCGTAAAGGCATTCAGCGCTGAGGTTGTCTCTACCGCAGTGCTCATGAGCATAACCATGGATTTGTCACCCTCGGGAATCTGGCAGTCAACTACCTGGCTCGCTGACTCTTCATACAGCTGGGTGCTGACGCGCCCTCGGATGTTGCTGGACTTGTGCAAGCTTGGCTGCGCAAGAAACAGGGCCGTGCCCACCAAGCATGCAGACATGACGACCAAAGCAACCTGCTTCATCATTCTGCGGCTCTCTCCCTTGGATTCCCCCGAGTGGAGTTGCACACTTCCATCTGCGGTCAAAGGGAAACTTTCCTCAGCACTCGGAGCACCTGATGCTGCGAGCAGAGTCATTGCTCTTTGTTCAGCTGTAGCACCCTAGCAAGTTCGAGCCGAGACTCAGCAGCCATGAGTCACATCAGGCCTATCAACCCATTCAGCACAGCTTGGCTTAGCAATGCGCACAAGCTCATGGCATGTTGTGGGTGCCAGGCAAATCTTAGGCACTGGCAACTGCTTGCGCCATAAGCTATTGAGGCGTCACGGGAAAAAACTGGCTTGAACCTTCTCAACTGCGGAGCCATGATGAGCATGAATAAACACAAAACAATCCCCCCTCCCTCCCCCCCCTTCTGCTGAAGGCGGCTTTTCACTTTGCTCTCCGCTGCGGGTCCGCTTGACGGCAGGTGCAGCTTCCTCGGCGTTGCCTCGGGCCCATGTTCTTTCGCCTACTGGGAAACCATTCTCCCTCCGCTCGCTAATCCCCAACCAAAGAATGGCCTGCTACCGATGCCGGCAGCGGCCGCGGCCCCTGCACCGCAAAGGAGCCCGCGCCGTGTGGTGCCTTCATAGCCGGCCGCGGGTCCTTGTCGCGAAAAGCAACCAAGAAAAAAAACCAGCGAGCGGTGCAGCGCCTTGCCCCAAGCGTTCAACCCGTGGCCAGGATTCCAGGCTGCCGGTTGCTTGCGGCGTCTGGCCGTCTGTTTCGGTCTCTGAAACATAAATCCCCGGGCGTTCCCGTGGTCCCTGTCAACATTCCGTTGCAGCCTCTTCTGCGCCCGACCAAACGAGGTGTCCCACGAATCGCTCCTCCAAGAAGCCGAGGCCCGGCCCAGCGCAGGCCCAGGCACTGAATTGGTACAGCACCTGTTGGCACTTCTCACCGAAAGAAAGCCCTCGGAACTTGAAGCCAGGAGCCTCTCCAAACTCAGATCTACCCAAGGTCAAGCTCAAACCTGTCATGCCTCCGAGTGAAATCACTGATTGGGCCCGTTCAAGTCGAAGGTTCGGCGCACGGAAGCTCAAAGTCATGTCGCGGGAGGCCTTTGAACCAGTTGCAACATGCTGAAAGATTTGGAGATGGCCTGAACTCCTTCGATTCACCGAGCTGTGCCAAGCTTGTGGCAAATATGCCGTGCGCACGAAATCTGATCTGGCAAGTCCTTGGCACTTGGGTTCAGCCAGGCTGCCACACTGCATGCGCAAGCCACGTTCAAGGAGCCAACGCCGGCCCCAAACTGAGGGATGTAGACAAAGCCTTAGGACTGCCCCCCAAAGCCACGGGGAAAGTCTTCCGACCGGCTGAAAACTTCTGTTCTCCCGCTGCATGGTATCCATTGTAGACAAACATCAGCCGTCAATCCAATCAGGCCGTTGAACTCATCGTAGACACAACAAATCTGAGCCAAGCAGCTGTCGCAGTGGTCAATCTGCTCTCGAGACAGGCCTCGAGTCGACTTCCGACGCGCGAAGGTCGGAAAGGCAGACACGGCCTCCGCGCTCGTTCCCCAGCATGAAGGCTGTGGGCCCGGAGAAGGGGCTCGAGTGCAAGGATTGCGCCTACGCGAAACAAAAAAAAAACAAGCTCCGAGAAAAAGAAGAACAAAAATGGGATCTGAGCCCAAAAAACTTTGCGCAACATCTGGGAGCCCACCCCCAGTATGTCACAAACTCGACGCGCTCGCGCGCGCGCGCGCGTCGCTCTCCTGCGGCATGATCTCCACTCCGCAGATTCGCAGCCTGCCCGAGGGGTGCCGAGCCTGGCGCACAGGCTGTTCCCAGCCCGAGCCTCCGGCAGGTCTTGACTCTATATAATGGCTGTGGGTCGAACATAGGGTAACCCCAAAATGCAACCCTGGTAACTGGAACCGGGGACTACAACCTGGGGTCCCTTAGTGGTTTAATTTTGACCCATACCCAAATGATAAACTTGGCTTCGGTGGTTGGATGCATTCCAAGACAGGTGTCGGCAGTTCTAGAAAAGGCAATTGTGGCACGGGATATCCATCCCTTCCGGGATTGGCTCTGCAACCAACATTGCCATCGGACATCTTTCAAGGCCACTCCGACAACACAAACCCAACACCAAGAACGAAGGATGGAATAACAACAGGAGAAACACAACAATCCTGGGCTTGCTGGTTTCTTCAAGCCCATGCGGGCTCAAACCCATGTGGGTCTGAATTTTAATTGCGGACTCTTTGGTGGACATCAAAATTCGGTGGTTGGATTTTTAGGTCCGCCAACCACTTTGGAGGGGTTCCCGAGCAAAAAGATCATATCCATGTCAGATTCCACAGGCCTTCAAAACCTCCACAGCCTGCTGCACCGTGGCCGCGTTCTCAATGGGCACCGCGCCCTGGCCGCTCTTCTTGCAGAAGGCCTCCCGATTTCGAAAAGCTCGAGGTAGCACTCTAAACGGAGAGTCTTCGACTGCGAGCCATGCAAAATGATCACCAATGGGATGGAATTTGATTATGTAGCCTAAGTAGATGATGATGTCCCATCTTTTTTCCAATGATGATTACACGTGCACCGATGGGCCCCAAGATCCAGAAAAGCTCGCAAACGGATCTCCGAAAGCTCCGACAGCTCCGCGGGGGTCGGCCTTGAAGCCCTGGCGGCCCACCAAGACCACCAGCCGCACGCCGAAGGCGGCGGCGGAGCGGAGGATGGCGCCCAGGTTGTTGCGCTTGTTCAGGTTGAACAAGATCAGGTAGCAGTAGTTCGCCTCCCCTGAAAGAGCCAGGAGGCAAACTCCTGGAAAAATGATGGGTTGGGTTGGAGATGCAAGTGCGGATCAAAATCACAGACCTCACCACACGCGGCATGATTTGGGAACTTGATGTGGAGCTCCCTCCAATTAACCAGAACTGCTTCAATCTTGCAAAGACCAGAAATGGATATCTGTGGGGGTGGGGTGGGGTGGGGTGGGGTGGGGGGGTTGGGGTTGGGTGGTTGGGTGGGTGGTTGGGATGTGGTTGGGTTTGTTTAGGGTTTAGTGTTGGGTGTGGGGATCCGGGAACTCAGGGTTGGGGCGGGGGGACTGGAACATATATGCAGGAGGGCCTTTGGCTTCGGTGGCATTCTGGGATGAAGGCAAACCAGAAAATGAGCCAAAGACGACAATGCCGAAGAGCAAGGCTAAGATTGCTCTTCCGCTTGAACCTGCAGCCCCGCCTTCCTCGAAGTGGGCTGCCGATGGGCCCAGCGGGATGCCCACAGAATCATCCTGTGCATGTGGGTCAGAAAATCTGCAGGTGCAAGCCTTGATATGGCCATGGCTCATAACCTATGCCTCCATTTTGGGGCGGATTCACACCCATGTACCACCCATTTTGATGTTCACCAGGGGTACAGGAATGTCTTTCGTGCCGAGCAAGCGATCGTGGCTTCCAAGGCAGCGAGAAAGTCCCCTCTTTGAAGGACAACTGGGTCTGTCTTTTTTCGAGCCTCGGCACCCCTTTTTGGTTGTTTCAAAGGGGAACCCAAACGAACTAGCTTAGAACAACCCCTTTTTAAAGACCCCTTATTAGGAGAACCAAAAGGAAAACCGAAGCCTCTTTCTTCGTTCTTTCTTTTGGGGGGGGGCCTGGTAAGAAAGACATGCCCAAATGAAGGAACCGGCCATGACCATGGCGAGCAACCCCTCCTCCGGAAGCTCCTCAGCCTGGCAGCCGCAAGTAGCCAAATGGACCACTTGCTCGGAAGGGGGAAGGGTTGAGAGGTTGTGACAAAAGCCATGTCCCCGGCGCCCCCCCCCCCCCCCTGTGGAATCGTGGTGGGTGACTTCTGTTGCAAGCATCGGGTATCTGTCTCCGGCCCCCCCTGTGGAATAAGGTGGGTGACTTTATTGGAAGCATTGGGTTGGGGAACCTAGCCGACTATTGACTTCTGTCCCCGCCCCTCCCCTCTGGAATCGTGGTGGGTGACTTCTGTTGCAAGCGTCGGGTATCTGTCGCCGGCCCCCTGTGATATCATGGTGGGTGACTTTTATTGCAAGCATCGGGTGCATCTTCGGGAAACCAATCTAGACGTTCTTTGCTTTAGGGTTTACAAAGTGATGTAGAAACAAGTGAGGGTCACCCGAGCTTGGATCTGGAGGAACCAAGGTCCGGCATTAGAGTTAGCTAGGAGTTTTAGTAGGAAGCAGAGCTGAGAAGGCAGAGTTGCGCGGGAGTGAGTGGTGAAAAGTATTTGAGAGCAAATCCCATTGGCTCGGCATGGTTTAGGGTTTCCAGCGAGAGGAGAGGCTCGATTAGGCAACTTGAGCTCCAAAGCCAGCAAACGAGGGTGTATTTGCCCCACCCCAGCCCAGCCCCCCACCCACACCATGGGGGGTGGGGGGGGGACCGCAACCACTGGTCACGGGACCAGAAAAAAAATGTATGAGCGCACATGCCGGTTCGCGATATATATATATATATATATGTTATAGACGGACACACGCGCACACATGAACAAAAGGCCTATAATTTTGGGGGTACACGCGATCCAGGTTTACCAGCTTGGAAGGAAAGCGCCATGTTTTTTCGCGTCTCTTGGAAGATCGAAGGGCCGCATGCAGCTGGAAGGAGCCTCTGCCATCTCTCTCTCGCGAAGCATGCGCGGGCACGCGCTATCTGCTGCTTCTCTTGTTGATTGACCTGAGTTGCGTGATGATGTTACCAACTCAAATGAGCTTTTTCAGTTTGCTTGCGATGCTTTCTAGCAGAAGTTGCGCAGCCCAAAACAAACATGTGACTGAAGACACCTGTTGCCCCAAATAGAAAACATATATCCTCCCCAAAGCATGCAATGGCCCCTCACTGGTTTCACACTCTCGTGCAGTCTGGGGCAAACCTCAAGCTTGTGAAACAAATGTTCCCAAATGCTTGGACAAAGCTCTGGATGCAACACTCTAAGCCCTGGATGGCCAATCAAGCTTGCACGCCGGAATGCTCATGGGCCTCATGGAAAGCCTTCCCCACCAAATCCAAAACGAACGACGCGCGCCATTTTGGCGGCTACGGCTGCTTCCGTGCATATGTACAATGCCGGCTGGGACCCCATGCCGCTGGCCCATTGGGCACGGACGGGTCCCGCCAAGCGAAGGTGAGACACATCTGGGTATCGCAGGCTGAGGTGGCAACCGAAGCTCCCGATACAAGCGACTGAGTGTGCTGTTTTGGATCTGGCGTGTCCCGACCAACGTCCCATCGTCTGAACAGTCTCTCGTCGCTTTTGCTTTTGGCTGCATCGCCTACCCTGACTCCCGAGACTCCAAACCCACGGGGGTCCGCGGGGGGTTCCGCTCATCCGGCTCACAAGCATGGGCTTGTGCTTACCCAGCACCTGGCGTGCAATGATTCATATGTATATTATAAACACGTAAATAAATATTAAACAAACAAAATATACATGTGAATATGAACAACTACATATCACCATATGTATGTGTATGTGTGTATATATATACAATATATCATCACATGAACCTCTCTGCCTGCGATGCATGGATCACAACAGGACAAAGAAAGAATCGTGTTGGGAAAAATACACATCTAGCCATGATTCTGTCATCTGGGTACGGCTCAAAATTAAAGAGCTGAGGTTACGCGGGTTTTAGTCTTTGGTTCCATATACCAAGGTGCCATTTTTCTTACCACTTTTTTGAGCCACAGCCATCTGTGTTTTGCTCTCCAACAGCCATCTCTCGGCTTGCCACCCTTCCGACCCACGGGTCACCTCAAAAGGCGGCACAGGGCCTCAGCTTGCCACTCGACACCAGCTGACTTACGCCCTACGCGCTAGCCGGGCTGAGGCTCGGGCAGGATGCGCTCGTAGGGAGCGCGGGGAGCTGCCCATCGGACCTCAGAGCATCTTGGACTCACAGATCTCTTTAAGGCCGTTCGATTGGCATTCGGACAAGCTCGGAATGATGTCAGTAGGCATATTGCACTGACCCAACTGCAGGCTGCATTCAACAGCAGCCCATGTTGCCTTCTGTCCATACTTTCTGAGGCCAGGACGACGCGTGCGTTGCCTCGCAAGCCAAAGAATTGCTGAAATCATGGCCTACATTTGCCTGTTGATTCATTCAGGCACAAGCAAAGCCGACCGTTGCTTTTCCTGACCAGAAATGCAACTGAGAACAAAATACTGAAAGCTTCGTCAAGCACTGCCCTTTGGCACACCACCCACCCACCCGACAACCCGGCCGTTGTCCGCGACGTAGAGCGCACCCTCCGCATCGATGGTCACGTCGATGGGCTCGCACAACTGGCACTCAGGATGGGCTCCCGCTTGGGTGCCAAAGATGGGTGAGGGCAAGATTCATGGGTTGGCATTTGGCCCCAAAGTAGCCAAACTTAACATGTGAAAGTCCGTACCAAACAACAACCACGCCAACAAGCAGTGCACATTTTCCAGCGGTTCTTCTCCACATGCACGCGGATTCCTTCAATTGGTGGCACTTCTGGCCCGGCCAGCACGGTCTCCCGCGCAGTAAAGGCTTGCCAGGGGCAACATGTGAAGCTGGGCGTGGCTCGGCTGACCCACAACTTCCGTGTGAGAGCTCGTTTCCCCTGGCAGACGTGGCGTGCACACAGGTACACCTGCAAGTGCACGTTAAAAGACAACCAGCCTGAGCTTGCAGCAGTGGCAAGCCGGATATTGCAGGACAGGGAGAGGCTATAAATCGCGAGACATCTGCAAAGTCGAAGCCCCTTCGAAGTTCATGAGGCACCTCACCCATCTCCTGTGTCGCTTGCCGCTTGCCCCTTGTGAGCCATGCATCGAATTTGTGCAGGGAGTAATGGCTTGACCACTGCTCGGTGTCATTCGGAGCCACTATCTTCGTAGATGCCTCGAAGACTCGGGATGCATTCACACCTCCCAGCCTCCCAGCTTCCCAGCCTAGCTTCTGAAAGCTAACAACTCTCTCTTGAAGAGGTACCAAGAAAGGTCACGGACAAATCGAATAAAAAGAGTCTCGAAGAACAATCTGCCATGAAGTAGCCTTTGTCCTTGCTTTCAGAACGAGTGCCTTCGAACCTGCATTCCACAATCCCGTTTAAAGGTCATTCCGCATCTGCCATGCGATGAACGCATTGAAAACCCTACCTTTGGAAGTCGATCTACATCGACGCGCGCGGAAAACTTCTGGAGCGTGGCTGCTCCTCACACTTGAGTCGCAGCATGCCACGTCGCTTGAAAACGCAACATGAACTTGCCCGAGGAAGTCACAACGGGCAGGCAGGAGCTGCTCGCCCCACGTATTATCCAAATATATCTGGCAACTTCTTGATATTTTGTCTAATATCCTAGTTCCGTTCGCGTGGCTCCCCCAGGTATTTACTGTTCAGCATGCCGCTGGCTTGCCTTTGTGGTTGCAGCATCAGGAATGAATTGCGGCTCGGAGAACTTGAATATGTTAACTCAGCTCTAGTCATCTAGGCCATGTTTAGGAACCATGAAGGCTTCCTTCGCCCAGGCAGAAAGCGGGCATCACTATTCCAGTTGCATGAATTAGATGCGCCGATTGCAAGCCCCGCTGTACAAGGACTCTGGTTCCTGTTGAATCGGCTGACCAGGGCGGGGTCATTCAGTGGTCAGCCCATTTTTTTTCATTTAAGCTACATGAGAAACCTTCGGTGGAGTTGGGCATACGAGTCATGCTTCTGCCAAGACTGTGTTAATGCTGACCCCATCTGAACCAAGCTCCCAAACTTGAGAATCCTGACCACCAAAAAAACGCGGCCAAGGCTGTTGCGGCATGGGACCGCAAAGGCCGGAAATGCTTAACAGTGCCGCATCGTGCACTAGGCACTGGTCAAGGACGACGCATCTTGGCTCCTGCGCAAGTGGGCCAAAAATGCTTCTGCCACCTTCCAAGACCCCTGCCCGGCACACTCTGGGCGAGCAAGCCCTTGCAAAGGGAGGTTTCGATTTACCTTCAAGCTTCCCCTCTCCCTCGTCTCCCTCCTCTCCCTCGTCTCCCTCCTCTCCCTCGTCTCCCTCCTCTCCCTCGTCTCCCTCCTCTCCCTCGTCTCCCTCCTCTCCCTCGTCTTCCTCGTCTCCCTCCTCTCCCTCCTCTCCCTCGTCTCCCTCGTTTCCCTCCTCTCCCTCGTCTCCCTCGTCTTCCTCGTCTCCCTCCTCTCCCTCCTCTCCCTCGTCTCCCTCGTTTCCCTCCTCTCCCTCCTCTCCCTCCTCTCCCTCGTCTCCCTCCTCTCCCTCGTCTTCCTCGTCTCCCTCCTCTCCCTCCTCTCCCTCGTCTCCCTCGTTTCCCTCCTCTCCCTCCTCTCCCTCCTCTCCCTCGTCTCCCTCCTCTCCCTCGTCTTCCTCGTCTCCCTCCTCTCCCTCCTCTCCCTCGTCTCCCTCGTCTTCCTCGTCTCCCTCGTCTCCCTCCTCTCCCTCGTTTCCCTCCTCTCCCTCGTTTCCCTCCTCTCCCTCCTCTCCCTCCTCTCCCTCGTCTCCCTCGTTTCCCTCCTCTCCCTCCTCTCCCTCCTCTCCCTCGTCTCCCTCCTCTCCCTCGTCTTCCTCGTCTCCCTCGTCTCCCCTCCTCTCCCTCGTTTCCCTCCTCTCCCTCCTCTCCCTCCTCTCCCTCGTCTCCCTCCTCTCCCTCGTCTTCCTCGTCTCCCTCCTCTCCCTCCTCTCCCTCCTCTCCCTCGTTTCCCTCCTCTCCCTCCTCTCCCTCGTCTCCCTCGTCTCCCTCCTCTCCCTCGTCTTCCTCGTCTCCCTCCTCTCCCTCGCCTCCCTCGTTTCCCTCCTCTCCCTCCTCTCCCTCCTCTCCCTCGTCTCCCTCCTCTCCCTCGTCTTCCTCGTCTTCCTCGTCTCCCTCCTCTCCCTCCTCTCCCTCGTCTTCCTCGTCTCCCTCCTCTCCCTCCTCTCCCTCGTTTCCCTCCTCTCCCTCCTCTCCCTCCTCTCCCTCGTCTCCCTCCTCTCCCTCGTCTCCCTCGTCTTCCTCCTCTCCCTCCTCTCCCTCGTCTCCCTCCTCTCCCTCGTCTTCCTCGTCTCCCTCCTCTCCCTCCTCTCCCTCGTCTCCCTCCTCTCCCTCGTCTTCCTCGTCTCCCTCCTCTCCCTCCTCTCCCTCGTCTCCCTCGTTTCCCTCCTCTCCCTCCTCTCCCTCGTCTCCCTCCTCCTCTCTCTCCCTCGTCTCTCCCTCGTTTCCCTCCTCTCCCTCCTCTCCCTCGTCTCCCTCCTCTCTCCTTCCTTGTCTTCCTCCTCTCCCTCCTCTCCCTCTCTCCTCTCCCTCGTCCTCGTCTCCCTCTCCCTCCTCTCCCTCCTCTCCCTCGTCTCCCTCCTCTCCCTCGTCTTCCTCGTCTCCCTCCTCTCCCTCCTCTCCCTCGTCTCCCTCGTTTCCCTCCTCTCTCCTCTCCCTCGTCTCCCTCCTCTCCCTCGTCTCCCTCCCCTCCTCTCCCTCCTCTCCTCGTCTCTCCTCTCCCTCGTCTTCCTCGTCTCCCTCCTCTCCCTCCTCTCCCTCGTCTCCCTCGTTTCCCTCCTCTCCCTCCTCTCCCTCGTCTCCCTCCTCTCCCTCGTCTTCCTCGTCTTCCTCCTCTCCCTCCTCTCCCTCCTCTCTCTCCTCTCTATCTGCCCGACCCGCAGGCCGTCCTAAGCACCGCCCGCAGCTGCCAAGCGGCTTCTAGCCAGCCGGCGAGGCACCTGGGGGGCCGTCACTCACTAAGCTCGCCAGACCAGTGGACCATGCCTGTCGTGCGGCCACGTGCCATGATTCTGTTGCGAGCTGATGGCTTCCATCACCATTGAGGCCAATAACACGATTTGGCAGAGCCAGAAGTTAGTGGCTTTGAGTGGAATGGGGTGAGAGAACAGCGCAGAAGTTGCAACCATTCCAAGCCACTTCGCCAGCAGTGGGCGAGCTATTGAACATATGCTTTTCGATTTCCTGGCAGCATGCCCGCCGACCGGCCTGCGGGTTTGCACACCTCATCGGGCCTCAGGGTTCGGGGGGACCAAATTCCAGCGCAGTGTCTCACGTCACTCCTTCAAATCAATCAGCGTCAGGATGCGGGGAGGGTCATGGCTTCGCACTGCAGTCCAAAAAAACACAAAAGCCCGTACCCCCAGTGAACCCCCACAGCCATCTCAGAATCTCAGGGGCAGGCAAATTCGTGTGTCACCACGAGTTATGGCACCTGCGTCTCCGGATTTCAATGCATGGATCAAGCGCTGCATTTCGCGCTTCGATTTTATGCCATCCAAGGCGCGCAGCCAAGCATCTACACAAGGCTGGTGGAAGGCCTTGGATACCGGCTGAATGATCTGTCTCGGTTAGCTAAAACATATCCACCCTTGTTTCGCATCAGAGGCGGAGCGATCAGTCGTCTTTTGACACCCCAAACCAAGAAGCAGTGACCCGCAAGCTCTTCTTGGCAGGGGCCGCACCCATCCAAAGGTCCCACACTAGGTGCCAACCGAGCCACGTGGCCGCAGTGCAAGCGTCTAAGCGGCTCTCCATGAAGTGGCCTTCCCAACATCTGAGCATTCCCGAGAAAAGACAAAAACACTGAAGCAAATTGATTGCTGGCTCAGTCCAAAGCAAAAACGGCGGGCTAGCTTGGAATGACGAATCCTCATAATGACCGCAGACAAGAGTCGGCAACAAACAATGGAGCCAATTCGCTCTCCAGCTTGGAACACTCCTTTTCCCGCAGCCCATCGGGGCCTTAAGCAGATGCTACAAAGCTCCTCCGTCTCTGGCGCCTCTTCGACTACCTCGGAAAGCAGCCCGGCATCCAGCACAGGTGTCACGGCTTCGGCATCGCCACACAAGCTTTCGCACGTCTGACCAGCACACAAAGCACGACGTGAACCTGCCAAGATACCTTCAATGGCCAACATGTGTACTGCGTACATGTTGAGTGAGGTTTACAAGGCCGCAGTGAAACGATCCACATGTTTTTTCGTTGCCAATCCAATCATGAGCCATCTTTAAGAAAAGGTCGCGCAAAACACATCAGGCAAAAAAAAGACTCATAGGCCATGGGTTCTGCTTTTTCGACTAGAGGCCACGGTGTCCGCCACGACCTCCGTCTCTGCGTCCATTGCACCGGCCTTCCCGGCTGGGGCAATCTCCTGCGGGCCACTTCACTGCGCGGAAGCGCTGCTCTCTCTGTTCCGAGCTGAGCGGAGAGCAAAGGGCAAATGGCTATGCGCCACAGGGCACAAAGCTTGCTCACTGCGCTTGAGACCTGATGCACTATTGGCAGAGAAGCAGGTTGCTGCACTGCAAAAGGGTCGGACCTTACCAAGGATTCCACCAGTGAGGGAGCCACTCACCCACACCGTTTCCAGTATCAGCACCAGTGACACGACACAATCAAGACATGACGCACGGGAATCTGCCAGTGAGCCACGGCATCCTGCAAGCTCCGGGCTGTTGCCAGTGACGCGAAGAAGCCTTGCCGAGTTTGGGGCGAAAAAGAAACCACTTGTTCCAGTCACTTTGCAGGGGAACATGGCACAAAAGCTGCTGCCATTGTTATTGAAGGGCAACAGTTCAAGCACAGCTAAGCTTCGCATTTCTCAGAAATGTGCTTCTGAAACACACACCTAGCCCCACCTGCAAAACCAACGCGATAAGCTAAGCCCCGCCTACGTTGAGAACCACGAAGCACGCCGCAGAGGGGTAAGTGGCACCCCACCACTTAGCACTCGTGGGCGCCAAAAACATCAAACCAACCTGGCCACGGCGGTTCCAAAGGTCACGGCCAACCCCCTAACTGCCAAACTTGCGTCTACTTTAAAATACTTCCCTGATAGGGCATATTGCCACGTCATGCTTCTCGAAGCTTTGATGGTCAGACGTTCCCCAAGGGGATTGATTGCCATGTTTGTCATACAGCATGATACAACCAAACAAGCCACACCAGCCTCACATGAGTGTGGGTCAAAAATGCGTACCCATTTTGGGAACCCTGTTAAATGGAACCAAGGACTAAAACCTTCGCCTGGGGGCTTAATTTTGACCCATGCCCACATTGGCCAAAAAACGCCCTGGGTCCGACGGTCCCTCCCGCACCTGCTGCAGCGCTGCCACGCGGCTGGCGCTGTGCAGCCGTAGCAGCTGCGACTGATCCACACACTCGGGCCTCAGCACAGCCAGTTGGGCTTATGGCTCGTGAGTCACTTGCTCAAAACCGAGTAGTAAAATGGTCGTAATCTCAGAACCATGTAAAGAATTTAGAAGGCGGATATCCGCGGCTATTTCTGGTTGGGATCTTCCCTTACTAAGCTTCATACTTGGACTCAACCGAAAGGTGGCCTCCCTTCATAGAGCTGAGCTGGGAAGCAGCTAGGAAGCAGCTGGGACGCTTCAGATCCCGGCGACTCTTGCAGCTTCTGCAGCTCGTGTCTGCCAATAGTTTCAGTCGCGCCAAACTTACTTTTTCTCCCAAGAGCGTGAGAGGAACTTAGTGAGATTCCCGCCTCTCTCTGTAAAAAATGAGCGAGTGTCCCCATGTCCCTCCCAAACGAAGCAGCAGTTTGGACCGCCACAACTTGGGCCAAGCTGTGCTTCGCTAGGCATGAGAATGCGAGGGAAAAGAAGTGAAGCATATCGCACATGATCCTCCCGGCCCCATCTCCACTGCCGGTGTCCCATCGCCATGCCTGTAGCAGGTAGCGAAGAGAGGCAGCATGCCCAGGCAAAGGTAGGTAACCTGTCGGACACTTGCTCTCAAGCGCAATCACGATGGTGTCCATAGGCCTGGCCTGCTGGGAATTGGCGCAGCTAAGTAGACAGCTCAGCAATGAGAGCAAGAGCTCCTGCTCGCAGCTGGCGTGTGGCTGGACTTCTTGGCTTCCGTGCAAGGGTAAGTTCAAGCCGTGACGCAACCTTGTATTGGCTGTTAACCTCAAAGATGGCAATTGCGCAAAGCCTGAGGAATTGCATGAAAGGACAGCCCGCTCCAGCACTGCAAAGCGCCACAGAGATGCTCGCGGCTTTGGTGCGTGCGGCTCTCCCACCTGCTGGCGCTTGGCCCGCTGTGCAAATGGCACCCTGCCTCATATTGTGTTCTCCTTAGAACCCATGCAAAGGAGAGGATGAGAAGCGCGCTTCTCACAAAAGGAAAGGCAATCTTGGCACGCACCCAACTTTTTAATAGCGGGTCTAAAGGCCCAAGCTTGGATTGTATTGCACTTGGCAACTGCCACCACATCGTTGCCAGGCCTCCAGCACAATGTCAGCTGCCTCATGCACAGAGAGTATTTTGATGAGGCTCAGAACCAGAGTTCTTTGATGCTTGCCGTTGTTAACCAACTAAACCGAGCTTCGACATTGGGGAACCCTTTGGTGGACATCACTTACAGGTCCCCCAAGCCATTTTGGAGGGTGTTCCGCAGCAAACCTCACAGTCCGCGTGTTCACATTCTGCTTCACCACCTGATGGAACCCTTCTGGTTGCATAAACACAACGTTGAAGCAGTGAAGAGATGTCGCGTAGAGGCATGCTATACAGTCTGCCAAGTTTTGTTGGCGGAATCTGGCGCATGTCCTTTGGGGGCACCGCAACCTTTTGGCTAGAGGGAAAGCCAAAAGGGAAACATTTGGATCCATCGGATCATGTCACCCAGTCTCAGGCTGCCTCATCGTGGCCTTCGTCGGCGTCCAACCTGACGCGTCGCTGCGTCTTCGCACGCGAAAGCCGAAAGCCAAAAGCCCAGCCTCTGGTCAGCCATTGCGGCCCGCACGTGTTCCGTATCGCAAAAGGGGCGTCGTTCCCAAGTCTTTGGCCTGGGCTCCTAATGTCGCATGTCCATAGCCTCCGCGGCTTTGCACCAATGTCTGTGCTTCTATTTCACTGGGCCCAGCAGTTGAGGCCTGGAGCAAAACGGCGGCGAAATGGCAATACCGAGGCTACGCGCGCCTCTGCAAGCAAATCTTGCAAATCATGTCCCCAACCGGCGGGACAGCCTGCCTTCTCCCATCGAAACTCCTGCACCCTCCCAAAAAAACTAGACCACGGTTGGCCCGAAAGCAGAACATCGCAAGCGAGGTCGGCCCAACGCTGCAGGATGCGTTCTTTTTCCCTACACGAAGCATTTGTGAAGCAAGCGCGAGACAGCACCAGGCAAGGTGCTCTGCGCAAACTGGTCGGTGCAAGTTGGTCTGCGCAAGTTTCTCTACGCAAGTTGCACTGTGCAAGTTGCTCTGCGCAAGTTGCTCCGCGCAAGTTGCTCCGGCAAGTTGGTCCCTGCAAGTGGCTCCCTGCAAGTTGCTCTGTGCAAATTGCGCTCCCTGCAAGTTGTGCTCTGCAAGTTGCTCTGTGCAAGTTGCTCTGCGTAAGTTGCTCTGCGCAAGTTGCTCTAGGCAAGGCGCTCTGCGCAAACTGGTCGGTGCAAGTTGGTCTGCGCAAGTTGCTCTGTGCAACTTGCTCTGCGCAAGTTGCTCTGCGCAAGTTGCTTTAAAATGCAAGTTGCATCTTGCGACGCCCGCCCGCGGACCAGGGAGGAATCGAACCCGCGACCCGCCGGTTCCGGGAGCAGGCGCGCGCACGAACCACGAACAACAGGTTTTTGCACCTCGACCACGCCGATCCCCAAGAAGAAATCGCAAAAAACCTGTTTTTGCACCTCGACCACGCCGATCCCGCAGAGGGTCGCGCGAGCAGGTTCGCAAAAAACCAGTTTTTGCACCTCGACCACGCCGATCCCCGCAGAGGGTCGCGCGAGCATCGCAAAAAACCATGGGTTTTTGCACCTCGACCACGCCGATCCCCACAGAGGGTCGCGCGAGCAGGTTAAACATCGCAAAAAACCATGGGTTTTTGCACCTCGACCACGCCGATCCCCGCAGAGGGTCGATTTTCGTGTAGTGTCGTCGGCACTACCCCGCCGCCCTAAGAAGAGATTTTAACTCCTCGCAAGTCAATTGCACTTGACTCCTTGCACTTGCAACTGCTGAAGGAGTCATTGCAAGGACCTGAGAAGAATTCATTGCAAGCAGTTCATTTGCAAGGAGTCATTGCAAGGCGTGTTTAAAGGAGCATTGCATTTTGAGTCATTGCAAGCCAGTTGAGTCAGTGCTTGCAAGGAGCCATTGTGTTGGAGTTTGAGAGCAAGTGCAAGGCAACAAGTGCAAGCAAGGCCAAGTGCAAGGAGCAAGTGCTGGAGTCAATTGGTTTGCAAGTGCATGCAAGTGCAAGTCAAGTTGCAAGTGCAAGGAGTCAAGTGCAATCCTTTGCATGACTCCTTGCAATGACTCTTGCAATGACTCCTTGCAATGACTCCTTGCAATGACTCCTTGCAATGACTCCTTGCCATGACTCCTTGCAATGACTCCTTGCAATGACTCCTTGCAATGACTCCTTGCAATGACTCCTTGCAATGACTCCTTGCCATGACTCCTTGCCATGACTCCTTGCAATGACTCCTTGCCATGACTCCTTGCAATCACTCCTTGCAATGACTCCTTGCAATGACTCCTTGCAATGACTTTCATGATGATGATTCCTTGCAATGACACCTTGTAATGACTCTCATGAGAACAACTCAAGTGAACCCAGCGGAAGAACCCTTCGCCATGCTTTCGGGAAAACGGATCCAGAGCCACGTTCGCCTGGTGCAGGTCGCTGTCCACTCCATGGCCGCCCGCCACGACCAGGCCATGCTGCCAGCCTGGAGATCGAGATCGAAGCGGGTCCTTCCCAAGTAGGCCCCCTTCCCATGGGCGGACACTCCAAGCAAAGGACAGTCGGACGCTTAAAGAATCAACAATTTGTATTTGAGAAGCACCGGGTATCTCATCTGTGCAGGCCTTTCTGACAATTACATCGAAGCAAGCGACAAGCTTGTACCAAAGCTCAGTCGCCTGGGACAAACGCTACTTGCTGATGGAGTAGCCCGGCCTCTAAACCTCTAGGTTTCTCTTCAAATAGTGCCCAAGTCTCACGCGGGACAATAATTGGAGAGTCCTGAGTTCTTTGGTTCCACAAGGCTAGCCACAATACTAAACTATCTGAAAGGCCTCGACCTGTTGCTTTGATCAAGCATCGGCACGAGAGCCACTGCACTGAAGCCACATGATCGACATATCTTTGTAGGCAAACCCGACTTTTCATCCACAAACGTCCCCTCCTCTCAGTGCGCCGTCTTTGGTGCCTCATGCTACCACCCGGAACCAGCCTTCCTTCCACTTGATGACGCGGTGGTTCTGGTAGTCAGCAATGTAGATGGTGGCATCCTGGCACTGGCACCAATGAGCGAGACACGTTGAGAATTTGGGCTAGCCTCTGTGACATGAAGGCCCACCGGGTGCTGCAGCTGATCCAGACCTGCCAACCGGCGTCGAGAATCCCGCCAAACAAAAAAACAAAACAAAAAACGGGCCGCCCAGGTCGCGCCAGGCTCCCGGCGGGAGCCCTTGCCATTGCCGCCCGCCACGGTGATGCCCTCGCTCGAGCCAGGCGGCCACCTCGGAGCGCGAAGCGCGAAGGTCAGCACCACTGGCGACCCGGCGGTGTATGTGCCTTTGGTTGCATTTTTAGCATCGCCGCCTGCCTGCTGGACGTGCCTTCTGCATTGCTGAACATGTTTGCTTCTAGCATTCTACCACATCACCCTTAGAAGCAGAAGTCGGGAAATACAGAATTCCTTAGGTTTCACGACAGCCACACAGTGCTTGGTGCCGAACTTCTGAATGCGGTTGTTCCCGCTGTCGGACACATAGAGCACACCTGTGAGTGGTTAGTAGCTCTAGCTAGGACTCGCTCCAAAGATTGCTGGCAAAGATTTCAGCTGTCCACGCTTTACATTGCCCTGGGTGAAGTCCCATGCAGGATGGGAGGACACTCAAATGCGAATACGACTAGTCATCATTCAGGGACCTCTTGCGTAAAACATACCGGACAAGCATGAGCTTCAAGCAGCGCACTCAACTCGGCAATGACACGCCTTCTTTGGTGACAAAGATATCCTCTGCGTCCTGGCAAAGGGCAGAAGCGACTTCTCTTTGCAAACTTTAGCATCCCCTTCTTCTTGAGCGCTGCTTCAAGGCTCACTTGAAGCGGACTGGAGGCAGCTGAAGCAGAGATTTTGGCCGCGCGACATGGGGTTGGGGGGGGGTCGGAGAGGGGGGGTTGGCGGAGAGGATGAGACGTTTGAGACCTTTCAACTTCAGGCAAGGCAGATTCTGCCTGATCCACACAAATCCAAAAACCTGGCCAACAAAACGATCAAATCCCCTTTAAAACCCGTAGAAACTGGCCAAATCCCCTTCTAGAAGCCGATGGAATCCGGCCAACTTCCCATCTAGCTCCGGTCAACTTCCTCCACGACTCCGGTCAAACCGCCCTAGACCGGCCGATTTTGTCAAATGCCAATTTACCCCCAGCCGAACTCGCTTCTAGAAACCTGTCAAATCCCCTCTGAAAACCGGTCCAACTCCCGTCAAATCCCCCGAGAAACCGTCAAAATCCAAAAAAAACGTCCAAATTCCCTAGAAATTGAAATTTGGACCTACGCTTGGCCCACCATTCTGTAGCTCTCTGCGGCTCTCGGTCTGGCCCTTGAAGCCAGGTGGAGTCGTGCGGACATGCGCCCACCCGCTAGCTTGGAAACCAGCTCACGCATTTCGGCGCCGACTCACTCACTTTAATAACATCACTTCAAGGCAAACTGAAGCACAGCACATACCTCAAAGCCAGCCAAAAGCGGACTGGCCGAGGCGGGCAACGCAAAGCGTTGACAATTGGACTCCTTTTGGCCTGGTGGGAAAAAGTTGCGAGTGCCCAACCTGTATCTTTAAGGGGCCTCCAGCTGGGCCGCGCCGCTGCCAGACTCGGGCCCGCCGGCCACCGGCGAGGTGATGCCGTTGAAGTACCTCCATCAAACCCAACGCCCAGGCCGGTCCACGACATCTTCGACACTTGACTGAACCAAATTAATTGTGGCAATTCATCAAGAGCAAAAAAGATCTGCAGTTGGCCTGTCTTTGAGTCACAGACAGTTAGTTGTCTCATGCCCAAAGACAAGGCATCATGTCCACGCACCTCTGCACACGCGAGCCACCCTCATCGATAAAGTAGATAGATCCATCTGCACCTTCCGAAAACTCGTGAGGCTCACGTCTTGGTGTCAAGCATAGAGGCACAACAACAAATAATATAAAGAAAATCGGAAGATCATTAGATCATCCAGCCACAAGCATCTCGGAAGATCATCCAGCATGTGAAAAAGGCCATTAGCGGTAAACAGCTCTCCCTTTCGCTCCTCTGCAGCAGTTGCCAACGCGGGAACACGAGCCCTCAAACTACTTCAGCTGAAGGCCAGTGCGGTTCATCTAACTCTCCCATCACTCTCACACACACACACACATGCACAAAATGCAAAAAGACTCCCAGGCTCGTCCAACCTACGCAGGCAGAACTGCTCCGCGCCTATGTACAAGGCGCGAGTGCCAATGTCCAGGGCCAAGCACCCATCGCCCACCACCTCGCCAACACCATCGCGTATCCTGGCCGCATCCGATCCTACTTCCGTGCGCAGCGCTGATTTGCGCACGTGTTTACGCCCGTCCTCACAATGCGGCCATGCTTGCCATCTAAAACCTGGCACATGGAAAGTCTCCATCCACCAACTGGAGCTGCGGAGCTGCAGAGCTGAGCTGCAGAGCTGAGCTGCGGAGCTGCACTGGGCCCCGGGCGAAAAGGTCCCCTGCGGCATCGATGGCGATGTCGATGATGTCCTCAGCTGGACCCCTGAGCCTCTGCTTGCATGGGTCAAGGATGAGCCTCAGCTCGCTTAGATTTTGGCCTCGCGGCCCGAAACGTTTGGGGCAAGAAAAATAAGAGGGTCAGGGGCGAAAGCGTTCCATACGCCGAGCTTGTTCTGTCTGAAATTCAGGCCGGCACGGAAAAGTCATTGACGCCGTTCAGCCTAAGGGCCGGAGCGGCTGGACTTCCTAGCCCTGACACTGCCCAAAATCACTGAGCCATGCTGACAGCTGATTGAAGTTGCCCCTAACATGATTGTGAAGGGTCGCGTGGATTAGTTTTTTCCAATTCCGTCCATCGTCTTTCCAAAGGTATGTGGTATCGCTAGACACTGGGTCTAGCCGGCAACCCTACGCTACAAATGAATTCAGCGTAGTTCATGCACACTGCACTCTGGCAACTGGATGACTAAGTCTAGTCGACCTCCTCCATCTTGGAAGCCTCATCAGCCGCACCCTCGACCTCCTCCAAGGGAGGCAGGTCGTCATCGCCCAGACCCTCGTCGTCAATGCTGAGGCCAAGCTTGATCATGCGGTGGATGCGATCAGCCCGCGAACTGCGGGAAGATTCGTCCAGGTTGAAGCCAGAGGCAAGGAGCGAGGTGTCGAACAACAGCCGCTGTCGATCAAGTCCTTCACTTGTCAGACTTGTCGGCCGCTGCCTTCTTCTTCAGCTACATGATGGAGTGCTTTGGGTTCACTTCCATGGTCTTCTTGGAGACCATGTAAGAAGTCATGGAATTGTCACGAAGGGCTTGCGCCTTCATGATACCTGCGCTAGCTTGAGGCCAGAACCATACAATAGCAATCTGACCTATACTTAAGAATCGAACTAAGTCTTACAACATCCGTATTTGTCAAGTCAGCATCACACGAAAACACAAGACATGTGTATATGCGTGTATGCATATATATATATACACATATATATATATATATACATGTGGCCATGGGTCAAAAGCCCGTACCCCCAGTGAACATCCCAATCCCCACTAAAATAGACTAAAATGGGTGGTGCACCTACCCCAAAATGGTACCCTCTTTTTTTGACCCACGGCCCAATTGTTTAGTATGCGTTCGCTTGGCAAGGCACGCTCCATGTTAGCAGACCAGCCGTACTCAGAGGTGGTCAGCACGCAAGGGGAGTCAGCCATGCGCGAGCTCACCATGACCTTCTCAACTTTGTCACCCAGCACCTCCTTCATCAGCTTGGTCAGCGGCTCAAACTCCGCTTTCAGCTCCTCCAGCTTCTTCTTCTCATCCTCGTCATCGATGTCCAGACCTTCCTTGGTGATGCTCTTCAGCTTCTTGCCGTCGAACTCCTTCAGCTGCTGCACACAGTACTCATCCACGGGGTCTGTCATGTAGATCACCTCGATGCCCTTCTTGCGCAGGGTCTCCAAGAAGGGCGACGAAGACACAGCCTGGATGCTCTCGCCAGTGATGTAGTAGATGTCGTTCTGGCCCTCCTTCATGCGGTCCACATACTCCTTCAGGCTGATCTGCTCGTCGCCCGACTTGGAGGTGTGGAATCGCAAGAGCTCCGCGACCTTGGTGCGGTTCGTTGAGTCCTCGTGCACGCCCAGCTTCAGGCACTTGCCAAACTGCTCGTAGAACTTCTTGTAATCATCCTTCGTTTTTTTTGTTGTGCTTGATTGACGGGGCGTCTTGTGACGCTTCCGCCACCCCAGGGGGGGGCTGCACCCCCCATCACGTGTAATCATCCTTCGTTACTTTTGTCTACTCTACCCGGCCACTCTGTGCCACACAATGCACGGGCTATGGTCGAAAAAAAAGGGCAGCAATAAACCTTAAACGATCGTGCATCTGCAGCATGGAATCTACAAGTGACAAAGGCGTGGTCACGCTACATCATAGTACCTGACTTTGATGGTTGTGTCAGAACGGAAGAAACGATCTGCAAAGCATTGCTTCCAAATGTTTGTTGCCACAATGATTACCTCTCCATCGACGTCAGGTTGACGAAAGAATGCATTGTGACATTTTGAACGGTGTCCTTCTTTTCGGCAATTTCCGCGAACATCTCCAGGCACTTTTTCACCAGATTCTTCTTGATCACCCGCAAGATCTTGTTCTGCTGGAGGGTCTCACGGGAGATGTTCAAAGGCAAATCCTCAGAATCCACCACGCCCTTCACAAAGTTCAGCCACTCCGGCATGAGCTCATCGCAGTCGTCCATGATGAAGACTCGGCGCACGTACAGCTTGATGTTGTTGCGCTTCTTCTTGGTCTCGAAGAGATCAAAAGGCGCGCGACGGGGCACAAAGAGCAGGGCCCGGAACTCCAGCTGACCCTCGACGCTGAAGTGCTTCACTGCAAGGTGGTCCTCCCAGTCGTTGGACAAAGACTTGTAGAAGCTCGCGTGCTCCTCGTTGGTGACGTCTTCCGACTTGCGCATCCACAAAGGCTTGTTCTTGTTCAGTTGCTCCCACTCATGCGACACCTCCTTCACTTTCTTCGTCTTCTTCCTGAATCGTCAAAAACATACGCGCAATCCTGTTCTGAAGGCGATGGCTAAACATGCACCAAAACCACAAGGCCAAATGGTCGACTGAGCGTCTTCTTCTCCTCCTTCTCCTTCTCCTCGTCCACCTCCTCGATCTTCGGCTCGTCCCCGGCGTCCTCTTTCTTCTCTTCTTCCTCCACCGGGGTGTAGCCCTCTTAGATGTCTTAATGAACCTATGTGAGCATAAGTATACATAGTTCATATATACATACATATATATATATATATACATACATATATATATATATGTGTTGCATTTATTTGCTGTGTTGCTTGCAAATCACGTTGCTCAGCAGTGAAAAGCAGAATGCAACCTGGCCCAAGCCAACAAGTCTCAGTTCCCTTACCTGCTTTTTGCAACTCGGAACCCTCGAAGTGCCTCCTCTTCGGAGTCGGTCACCTCCTTCTCCTTGGACTTCTCCACGTAGAGCTCGATGGGGAAGCCAATGAACTCGGAGTGCTTCTTCACCAAGTCCTTCAGGCGCCTCTCCTCCAGGAACTCCGACTGGTCCTCCGGGGCTGACTCACAACGGGTGTTCTAATTTTATATATATATATATGTATACATATACATATATATATATATATGTGGCTGCGTGTGAATATGTGTGTACAACATATTTATAAATTTATATATACAGTATGTTTCTATCTTCGCTGACGTGTGTAAGCGTGACGCGGCAGGAATCTTGTGGTGTGTGATGGGGCTCCTTGTTGCGTAGGTGTCCAACGGGAAAGCTGTGCTAGAAGCTTGACACTCCCGCAGCTCCAGCATAGGTAGACATGTATGTAGGAGATACATATGCGGGTAGATATGTATGTCTGTATGCACGTATATATGTGAGTCTCGATGTATGTATGGATGTATGTATGCATGTATCTATCGATCGATCCACCTACCTACCTACCTATCTACCTGCCTACCTACCTACCTACCTATAGGTATCTAGGTGTCTATGTACGTATCTGAGAATCTGGGTATCTTTCTACCTATGTATATAGCTATGTCTCAATGTATCTATGTCTGTATGTCCCTGTTTCGGCAATACACTGCGAGCATCATCACCACGTAACTGCAACCTGTCCTCCTTGAGGTAGCAAATGATCTTCGTTCCTCGCTTGATTTCGCCATGCACGAGTTCGGTGTCCTTCTGAACGGTGAAGGATCCGCCGGCCCCCGACTCCCAGATATACTGTTCGTGTAATGTTTGAACTGGCATGGGCGCCACCAACGAAGCCCATGCCATCCTGTCATGACGCCGGCCAGCGGCGGCGAGCGTGTCGGCAAGGACACGCAGCAGAATTGAATTCGGTGCGACACTGATCGGTCGCGGCAATGCGAGCAATGCGCAATGTGAGCCAAGGCAAAAATGCTAGATATACTGTTCGTCGTCATTGTGCTTGCTGATCACGCGCACCTTGTCCGACACGAGGTAAGCACTGTAGAAGCCCACGCCAAACTGCCCGATCATGGAGATGTCTCCGCCAGCCGCCATTGCCTCCATAAAGGCCTTTGTGCCACTTTTGGCAATAGTGCCCAAATTGTTGATAAGCTCATTCTTCGTCATGCCGATGCCAGAGTCCTCGATGGTGAGGGTCGAGTTGGTCTTGTCCGGGATGATCTTCATGAAGAAATTGGGCTGGGCCTCAATCTTATCAGGGTCTGTGATACTCTCATACCGAATCTTGTCCAAGGCATCGGAAGCATTGGAGATCAGCTCGCGCAGGAAGATCTCCTTGTTGCTGTAGAAGGTGTTGATAATCAACGACATCAACTGCTGGATGTCAGCATTGAAGGGCTGGCCAAAGGATGCTCTGAATTGTCTACCGTCCAAGCAAAACCTCTTAGCTCCTTGCTTGAGCTAAAGGAAAACATGGCACCCGCGTGCGCAAGGCATCGAACGCAAAGGAAAACCCGTGGAAGCCGGGCTCCCGCCAGCGCTCGAAAACCTGGGCGCCGCTGCGTGCTGCCGGTGCCCACCACGACGCGGCCGCTGGTGGCGCCCAGTGGCCACTGTCACGGGCGCTTTGCGCATCAAAGCCCCTTGGGGCCAGTGGAAATGCAGGCAAGGGCCAGCAAATTGAATCAACCCACGGCGTTACTCCCTTGCCCCATTCGGTGAACAGCTTGAGCTGCTAGCTAGGTTTCATCTGGGCAAGACGCGCAAAATGGTCTGGGTGTGAGCGGATATGATGGAAAAAGGAAGCAAAACGAACCATCCTGCATCCGGCGTTACCCCATGAATTAAAAAACTAACTCACGATCCCCATTCTCAACTGCACGATAGAAGCAAGGAGACTAGGGGGGTCACTCTGTACCCGCAAAGGGGACGACTTGAAAAAAGGACTCTGTCAAACCACAATCTGCCTGAGGAAGGACTCAAAAGAGGGACAAACTCATCACACTTGCTGAGCATGTCGCAGCTTGACAACAAAGCAAAATGCACAACGCGAACAGCGTCGCGCCAACTTGAAATCATGATGGCTACCTGGCTCCTAATGATGCCAGCAAGTCCGCACTCTTCCCGCCTGCAGCACACAGCAAGGCTCCCGACCTCGGTGAGAATGCTGGACTGACTGCGCAACCAGCGACCAGCTGAACCAACCTCGCGGCGCGATTTTGTCTCTCTCCGGTCAGGCCCCCGGCCATCAATGATGTAAAGCGCCTGATCGTGGATGTGCACCGCCCACGGCTCCAGCTCGCCCTGCGACAGAGAAAACGGGCGCAGGACGCGTCCACGCGCAGCGGCCTCCGCATCCGCGCCGCTGCGCTCTGCGATGACAAGGCCTCCACGAAGGGAGCAGCCAAAGTCAGCCCACCTGGGCCAACGAACCAAAGATTGCAGGCACGGTACACAACGACACCTTGGATCACTCATTGCAAGAACTGTGCGTTTTGACATCCAACCACAATGTCACTGGTCCAAAGGTGCATAGTAACGTGAGTTATCTGTGACCAGTGGCCAGTTCTGGGTGGCCGGCCAGTAGGGATAAGAATTCCGCAGCTTCACAAACTTCATGAAGGAGGCCTATCCGAGCTCGCAATGGAGAACGTCGGACACCAACCGGGTGCGCTTGCTTGTGGCTTCCCAATCAGCTTCTCTCCTCATCATGGGTGTCTGGCCGCTCCCACCGGTCACCTGGGCTTCGACAGCATTCCAAGACGCACATTGCCCTGTCCCGAGCAAGAAACGTTGTCCACAATCCAGGTCCCAGCTTGGCCAATATGGGATGCGTCGCTCTCTTTCTGCCAAAAAAACGTGTGGCTGCGTCCACCATGTTGCTGTTGCTGCAACGGACTGTCTCAAAGATCGGCACACTCTATCCTCAATGGAAAGAGAAAGTCCGGGAAAGTCCCACACCAACGCGGGCAACCATAGGCACCCGAGCCTTCTTGACGCCAAAAAAAGAGAGACCGCCGCCCTGACCGGTCTGCCGAGCGAGCCGCCCTGGGGCAGGCCCTGGTGCACCTTCAGCGCGGCCGCGGCCAGGCGAGACATCACCTGAGCCCACTGTGATACAAAAAGGGCCGAAGACGAACCCCCCAGATTTTCAGAGATTCCGACTGGTCTCACAGTGGTTGGATAAACCCCTTCCCGCAACCCTGGAACTGGGTGAACCTCTTGAAAGATGCTGAAATCCTCTGAGGAGAAGGCGACACCTGGCAAACCCGTCAGGCCTCAGTCCCCAATGTACGGGGAGTGCAAACTCTTCTGCCAAAGCACCTAGGTGTTTCTCAAAATCCGAATCCCCTGGGCTGGCTTTGAAACCAAAAGGAAATCACCTGGAGTCCCTGAGAAAGACCCACCTGCGCCTGGGACCTCAACTTTGCGACGCTCGTGGCACTGGGCCAGTCCAAGGGCTGCGCCCTCCCTGCTGCCCAGGCCTAGTGTGCGCAGGTCGAGGTGCGATACAGCTCCAAAAAGCAGAGATCGGTTGCCAGCGAAACGCCGGGGAAACCAAGGAGAAAACCACGGGTGGAAAAGGAGGAGAGAAAAGAACATACAAAATAATACTGTGGATGGACGAAATCCTGCACCAGCTAAGAAACCCTGAGGATTCCCCTATAAATACCAGCAAATGGCTTCCCATGGTTTCCAAGTGGTGCAGGATTTCGTCCACAGTATGGAAACCATGAGGAAACGAAAAAAACAAGCATGGGTCGCCACGCTGCGCTGAGTGGGAGCCCCGGCTCTGCAGTGCCGAGGCCGAGAGCAGCGCAAAGCGCACCATCTGCAGCAGCGCCTGTCCAAGGCTCCAAATCGTGCCCGGGCACTAAGACTAATTAAAAATAGAAGAAAAAAAGAGGAAAGACAAAGAGAAAGAGAGAGAGAGAGACAGAGAGAGAGAGAGAGAGAGAGTGAGAGTGAGAGTGAGAGTGAGAGTGAGAGTGAGAGTGAGAGAGTGAGAGTGAGTGAGTGAGTGAGTGAGTGAGTGAGTGAGTGAGTGAGTGAGTGAGTGAGTGAGTGAGTGAGTGAGTGAGTGAGTGAGTGAGTGAGTGAGTGAGTGAGTGAGTGAGTGAGTGAGTGAGTGAGTGAGTGAGTGAGTGAGTGAGTGAGTGAGTGAGTGAGTGAGTGAGTGAGAGAGGGAAACGAGAAAGCTTGCTCTCACGAAATCTGCACGCTACTGACGCAAACAAGAGGCCGACCGCAACGTCTGGACGTTGCTCCGTCTCAGCCCAGCGCTGCCGTGGCATCGTCCCGGCCCGGGCCGCTGCGGTGCCAGTGCATCACTGCGGCCAACACCTGGCTGGAGACATCGGGCACCGGTCTGCTTCAGAGGGTACCCTTTTTTCTGTTTGGAAGAAAACGAGTGAATCCAAAGGAAACCAACCCACCATTTTGGGGGGGGGATCTACCTATTTTGACACATCCCAATAGTCTCCAAAGTGGCAGCATCTCACACATTCCACAGGCATCTGCCGGGTTGATATTCCCCACCCTGCTCACGATCAGAACTGGCACGCAGGCCTCCTCCTCATGCTCCGCCACCAGGTCGTCGCTGCGTAGGAGGCCGATCTGCAGTTTGCCAGCGATGGCCACCAAGCCGCTTGGACCAAGCCGCGCACATCTCAGTTTCCGGCCATACGGTGCAGTGGCCAGGAACCGAACTGTTCCGTCTTGACCTGTGAGCGCACTCAGCTTGAGAGCTGGAAACCTGCATCGAATACCATGTGAGTCGCAATCAAAACCGGGTACTAAAATGGTCTACCCAGAACCATGTAAAGAATTAAGAAGCCGGCCGCTGCTATTTCTGGCTGGGATCGTCCCTTACTAACGTTCATCTACCCGGGTTTTGATTGTGGCTCATGTGCGCCTCTCCGACAGTCGGATGCGTGTGAGAATTCCGGGATTTACGGATGGCCCAAGGTTGGTTTGGGTTTCGTGTCTGACTCCGCCGGATTAGGGCGAGTTGTCAAAAGCCTCAAGCAGAAAACCGAAGCCAGCCAAAAGCATCCGCCCAGTTGGTCAAAGTGAGATGAAATGTCTGAAACGTAACAATGTCTGGGGTACCAGCACAAGCTCCAAAATTCTCGAGCACATAGGATTCCTGATCGCGGGCGCCGATGCAACTTGGGCAAGTCTCTCCCTCTCGCTGAACTTATCGGGGCCCCAATGACATGACCCAGCTGGGCCGTTGGGAGGGTGACATGTAAATTGTCTATGTCTATGTGTAACAAATAGTGCAAAGGTTATGCATGCATTTTTATGTATATGGAGAGGCCAAACCAAAGCTGGGCACCAGCATCTCGTCCAATTGGTCCACCAGCAGAACCTGTGGGGAATCAGTCAAAAATAACCGCACCATGCAAGAATCAGTGGCAATGTACTCACTTCGCACCGATTGCCGAGCTCATGAGAGTTGCAATCAAACGAAGGGCATTTGGCCATGGGTCAAAAGCCCGTATCCCCCAGTGAACTTCCCAATCCCCCCTAAAATAGACTAATATTGGTGGTGCACCTACCCCAAAATGGTACCATTGGTTTTGGCCCACAGCCATTTGTCACAAAAGAGCAAGCATCGACAGGGCGGCCTTGCCGCACCAAAATCCCCGGGAGGTTTCCCGCCCAAAACCCGCCTCGCAGTCCACGATGAGCAGAGAGCACAGCTCCGGTGTCATGTGCCTGGCAAAGCCCGGGCAAAACGAGCGCTGGGAGGCATGAGCCAGCCCACAAAACCGGAACCGGAAGCTGAATGAAGGGTGACGGGATCGACTGACCAGGCGTTTGTCCACAACAGTCTGCGATAAGTAGACACCTTGCAGTCATGATCAAAGCCTTGAAGATGTCTACTCAAAACCATGTAAAGAACCACAAAAGGGCGGTTGTTCATCTACCCAGGCAGGGATTGATTGTGGCTCACAAAACTGCAAGCGTCGCTTCACGAGCAGCTCGTTCAGAGCCGACTGCAGTGGCTGCACCTCGAAAAGAGCGTGCGCGCGTAGGGCACCAACTGCCGGAAAGGATCTGTCCGTCTCACGACAAGTGACATCCAGAACACTTCCCAATGCAGTCTGGATGCCTCCCACTGATGCACAAGGCGCAGCAGCTCGGGCAGAACTGCCTCGCAGGAATCTGCGCCCATCCGCATACACGCTCCCCTTCGCAGATTCATCCATGGGATCGAGCCCCTCACATCACTCTTTGGCCCGAAGCCAGACCCTGGCACTGCCACGTCTCCCGGCGCCTTCTTGACGGAGAAAGTGCCCTTGTACAGGAACTGCAGGAAGGCGCTCAACGCCTGCAAGACACGCAACAAAAGGGCCACCGAGAGCGCATCCCCTGAGGATGCCTCCCCTGAGGATTCGAAGGGAACCTCCGACTGCTGCCTGGACCGGGGCAAAAGGGCAAAAGAAAAGGCAAGACATGCCAAGCCCAGTTGGAACGCAACCGGAAGCGGCTTGCGAGGCCGCGGCCCCTCGGCAAAGCTGCCGCTGAGCATGGCAAAGAGCGGGTCGCTGGCCATGGAGAGCACCAAACGGTGTGCCTCTCAGCCCGATCGATGAGTGTTCGGTTTTTGGCACCGCTTTGGTCCAAGTTCCCAAAATTCATCAGAAGGTCGCCTCATGGTCTCTGGCGCCTCTTTTCCCCCGCCTTGAAGACTTGGCCGTCCGTGCTGCGCAAAGAGACGTCGCAGAAGTGCTGGCCATCCGAAAACAATTCTGATTCTTCGGTCGAGGGCGAAGCCACAAATACTCAAGTGTCCACGGAACAACAAACCGCAGGTTGCCTCCGCATGATGCGGCAGGCGGTCCCACAGCGCCAGCCTCAGCGCCAGATTTGCCGAGCCAAGCGCGTTTCCCGCGCTCCCGGCCCTGCGGAAGCCACTCTGAGACGAGACCTCCGATCCGCCCAACATCTCTGGGCATGCGGCTTGGCGCTTTCCGACACCTTGGGCGCCAGCTGGCCATGAGAAAGAAAACTCAACTTCACAAAGCCCAGCCCTGTTATATGCCAAACCGCACATCTCGTCTTTGTCTTTGTATCCGTGACACCCGGAGAGGTCCCCCACCAAACTCCCAAGCTTGGCCTCCAGGGCCACCGAGACCACGTCAGTCTCCGGCTCCTGGCGCTTTCGGATGGGCTTGGAGGACAGCGTCTCCCCCCTCGTCCTGGCGGACTTCAACCTGCGCCATGGCTCCATAGGGCTCCAAAGGGCAAGTCAAGAATGAAACATCTGAGTGACCTGGGAATAGGCGTCATTTTTACCCAATCTCGTTGAGATGCTGCACCATGCTGTAGGCTACACATCGATGGTCCATGATCCCACGAAACCAACAGTGACAGGCTCATTGAACTACCTGCGCCCAGCCAAAATGAGTTTGAAACTGGCCGCTGCATTCACACATGCAAAATAGATGCGCAGGTCAGCATCGAGCTCTCCAACTTCTCTTTTGACTGCAAAGTATGCAAGGCTCACAGACTAAGATCAGAGTGCAAACCTGCTACAAAGAGGGCCGTGCAACATCATCACGAGCCGAAGACCGTGATGAGGGCATGCGCAAAGCCAGCTCCTCCCAGGCCACCAATGGCATGCCAGTTGATCATCTCGATGAAGCCAGAGGCAGGCTTGTCACCCTCCTTGTCGAAGCGGGTGGGCTTGATGGTGCTGCCAAAGATCAGGCCGCCGATTGAGACCAGGCCAACGATGGCACATCCGCACAGCAGGCCCACAGTGGCTGCCTCCGGAGTGTTCCTCAAGGGACCCAAAGACGTGAAGGGCCCGATCAGGAAGTAGCCATGGGCCATGCCAATCTCCAAGCCGCGCTGCCAAGGCTTGAGACCGTCACGGTAGAAGGCCAAGTTGGCCAGGAACTGCTTCGAAAAGCGGCCGTTCTCTGTCAGAGTCTGCACCTGATCACCTGCAAATTGTTCTTTGCCCTTCCACTGGATGACGGCACCTGTGTACCAGAATCCAGCAGGACCAGGGACCGCAAAGGGGATCTTGCCTTCCATCATGAGCTTGTCGTAGTCCGCGGCGACCTTCATCTCATCCTCATCCAACAGCTCAAATCCCGGAGGCAGGTCAAGCTTGAGCCTGAAGTAGTCCCACCAGCCCATCTTGGTGGCCTTGCCAGGCCCGTACACCTCTGCAAAGGTCTTCAGGGTGTAGAGGTATGTGTCCTCAGGCGGGTC